TTACTAGATTTAAATTAATTATTTGAATAAATTATAATTGACCAGGGATTATTTTACAATCACAATATAATTTTCTTTCTAACAGTAACAAAAAAAATAATGAAAAATCTTACAACCTTTAACATTGATCTATAATAATGAATTATATATAATATAAAATTTATTATAATTTTCAATTTACATAAGCTTGATTAAAGTATTTTTCAAACTTTTTCAGCTGCATAAATTTTAGCACCTGCTCACCTTAGCAGATATACCAAAAACAATTATAGTAATTTAAACAAATATAATGAATATAACCCAAAACTATTAAATCATTTTGTATTTAATTAAATGTATTTCTTACTGTATTAATAAAGTATTAACATTACACTTTATACAATGAAATATTATAATTTTATTAAACACAACTTCATGTAAAATCAGATACATGCATATGCTGATATACGATAACTTTTCAGGCTTTATGTATTAAATATTTCAAAATATAATTTGTTGAAATTATGATTTTACATTAAGCATATTTAAAAATTTGACATTTTCATAGAAAATCATTTCATGTTTCTTCTTGTAGATGAAAATTTACTCTTCATTTTAATAAAAACTTTAATTTATGCAGTTCCTTAATATCCAATCGTTTTAATATTATCTTTATAATTTATATTCTTGTATTCTATTAATATTGTTTTATATATGAAATTATTATTATATATAGAATAATTATATTAAATTAAAATGTCTAATTTATATTTTAATATATAAATTATAAACTAGCTAATCATACATAATTTATAAAAACTATAAATGTAAAATGATAAACGTATCTAATTGTTGATTATTTTTTTTTAATTTATAATTTATTTCATTAATATCACTTAAAAATATAAGTGCTTTTAATAAGTTATATAAATTAATTGTTATACATGTATGAACATGTATTATCTCAGGTATTATTAATATTAATAAAAATATATATTATTGATTGAAATTTATTACGCTCATTCTTTTACATCAATTGCTATTTCTCATTATTATAGTATTGATTAAAATTTAATAGTAAAGTAATAAAGTACTTAGTTTTTATTATGTTTTATACGTTATTATTTTTTAACTTCGTATTATAATATATATATATATACATATATAGACGAAATTTATAACTATTGATTATAGAAAAGTTGATCATTTATAGAAAACAATAACTGCGTATGTACCAAAATATTTTAACTTTGTTTTGAATCACTACTTATTTAAATATAAAATTTAATGCTTGTAAAATAAAAACAATTAATAAAATTTTGATCGATAAATCATTCTGATTTATCCTGAACTTTAGATTAATTATACTTAACCTCACTTATGTATGTACATAAGGTCGTACAATAAATGTTTGTATAATTTACTTCGGACATTAATAAACAACGACTATAATACATATTAAATACCTTCTATTATATAAAGGTGCACGTGTTGTCCTCGAATAATATTTATTTTCATACGATAAATATTATTTAGTCATTGAGTTGTATTCTTCTAAAGAATTATATTTTATAGTAACTTCAAACACTTTTAAAACATGAAATTTATTATAGAGACAAAAGTCAGATGCACTTATTTTGCCTTAATCACGTAATAAAAATAATATAGCACAAACTAAAAATAAATGAAAATGATTACTGATTAACATGAAACAAAGGTAATCGTAAACTACCGATCCTAGCGGTCAGACATTAAATCGTATTTACTTGTGCATGGCAAATAATTACGAAAAAGCACGTGTAGGGTGGCATACATATATAGATAGTTCACCCCACCGTAGAGATTCAAAAATATAAAATGGAGATCAACATTTAGATACACAGAGCATAATTAAAGTTTCCAACAGTAATGCGAATTGCCATTTATGAAGTACTAAATACTACGAGTAGCAATGGAAAAAAAAAATTGTAGTAATAAATACCGCTGTTAAGAGTCTGGGATGCCTGGGTAATCTACATCTTAGGCGTAGAAACACACAAAGTCCCAACATAATCGTAAATTCGATTTACAATCGATTCAGGCGTGCATGCGTGTTGATGGATATTTTGCGTAGCTAAAAGGTGCAATTCGCAACTTATTCGAGCATTAATTTATAAAATAGTTGATGTATTTTATAAGATTTCTATTCAAAAAATTGAAATATTTTTATCTCTATAAATAATTTGGAAAATAATTGTGTAATATTTGGAATATTTTGAGCTGAAACTAATTGTCCTTTTTTTTCCAATGATTTAAATAAATGATTAATTCCACTCTATTATTTAGCGTACCTTCCTTTAATTTGTATTTCGGTATGATCTTGATTACGACAAAAATCGTCGTGCAGCAGTTTAATTAGTGTCTTATCGATAGGACCGATTTATCGAACACTTTCATTTATTTGAAATATAAAATAATATAAAACTATCTGTTTTATATTAAATTTGTCTTGTTGCTTTGTAAGCATAAAGCATTTTTTACGAAAATTTCACTAGATCTATATGATAAATGTATGATCTATTATAAAAAGAAAACTATTATAAACATTTCATTTTCAAGATTTTTCATGATTCATTTTCATATTCAAAATTTGTTTATATATACAGAATGAAATTGGTGTTTCCTTAGAAGTAAAAATCGTAATAAATTCAAGTTTAATGAATATAGTTTTTCAAATAAAACAACATCCATTTTATAAGTAATTTCATCTTGAATGATTATTAATTTCTGTAATTAATAAAATCATAAAAAATTTATAATAAATGAAATTATAATATACAAAATTGTACTTACCGCAATGTCATATAATTAATTAATATTTGTAAGAGATCGTTAAAAACATTTTTAAGCAATTAATTACATGTCTGCACATAGATTTTAGATTTTTTTTCAAATTTGACTCACTTATAATAAGCTATTTTTTCCAGTATCACATAATTTTTAAAATACTTTTATAAACATTATATTTATATTTTATTTAACCTATAGTTACAAATTAATATGGATCTTATATGAAAATGTATCGTAAAGTTAAAAAAAAACTAGCTTCTAACGTATAATTAATTAGGTGCATATAAAACAACTAAATAAAAAATTAAATACATTAATAAAAAATTTAAGATTTATTTATAATTTAAGATAATTTAAAATTTTAGATTTAATTTAAGATTTAGATTTAATAAAATCACATTAGCACCAATTTTGCAGACTAAAAAAACAGTTTAATCGAATAAAATATTTTATTTTAAATCGAACAATTATTTTTTTATGCATAATACACTTTTTTATTTCATCAAATATAATATTGCTACGCCTTAAAATTATATAAAAAATAACAGAATAAAATCAAGTTTTTAAAGTAAAAACTAATGAAGATTATAATCTTTCGAAATATATAATAATCTTTCGAAAAAAAATTAATTTTTGACTTAGTACAAGTACGGTAGCAACAAAGTTGATGACAAAATCAGCACGTTACAATCATATAGTCCCTTTATTAAATTTCACAAAAAAATAGAAAAATGAAGCCACATTGATAACGGTATATATATAATATATATATATATATATATATATATATATTATATAATGTTATAAGTATATAATATTTATTATGACAGCAGCAATGATTTAACAATCAATTTATACACTAAAACGTGTGTTAAGAAGTTTGTAATTATTACGACCAAGAAGTAAACATGTAAGAGATTAATTCAGTACTGCCAGTTTTTAAAGCTATAATATGTTGACCTTTTCATTATAACTTCGGTAAAATCAATCTTCTTGAAAAGAAAACAATTATGTTTACCAATTCCTAATCGTATCCAAGAAATACAATTTAGTAGTATAATAGCTAATTATTTACTAAAATAAAATTTTAACACTGTTAAGATTATTTTAACATTTACAAGGCATAAAAAATATGTTTTCCTCTTTCTATTGTAATTTATTGTAATTCATGAATTGTAGATATATTAATCTTTAACGTTTTATTTTAGTAAATTTTTTCTAAATACAAGTTACATATTTATTCTGCATTTTGGAATGTCGGGTACAACAATGTAACGTGTTGAAACATAATCGGACGCACTTGATTTTCCTTCATACTGTAATACTGACTGATATATAACAATTTATAATCTGACATGGGTAATTTTTAACTTTGTAACATGTACTTATCAATAGTCAAGATTAAGTAAATATATATATATATATATATATATATATATATATATATATATATATGATTTTTGTTTTGTGCTTGAAATAAAACACCCTGTAAGAATTTTGTTATCGCAAGTAACAAAAAAACTTTAACAATAAAAAGTGAAGATGTGACCCATGTCTGTTTATAGTTTAATACTAAAATAACTAGACGAGCGTACAAGAGATATTTCACAAAGTTTTACCATATAGCAATTGATATATTGTTTAACTATTTATTTTGGTATGAACTTCTAAAAATATCGCAATACACTACGATTAGTGACATTAGCAAACATGTACAGAAGACTTTTCGTTTATAATATGACTTTTTATGAGACAGTTTCAACCTTTTAAAAAGAAAATTTTTGTAAGAAAAAATTGATTTTTCACATCATAATTATGAAATCATCTATATAATCATAATGTAAAATTTTTGTAAATATTTTTGCAAATTAAATAAGCGTTTTGGAAAATGTCTATCTTAAATTATTTATTTCACATCTGAATGAGTGTATCCACATTACTTTTTTCATTTAAATTTTTATAAAATTATTGGTTTTTTTTTTTTTAAATGAAAAATCAACATCGCCCTAGTAGAAATTTACTACTTTTTTTAAGATAATGAAATAAAAATTTTTCTTTTACTTATAGAGGTTATTCATTTAATAATTACCTTCTATATTACAAGTTTTCAAACAATTATTCATATAAAGGATTTTCTTTTTAAAAAAGTTAAACCAGAAATAAATATTCATTAAGATTTTATTAAAAAAAAAAGAAGATATTAATTACTGCTACGAAAACAATTATCGACAAAATAATTAATGTCATAAAATTAGATGACAAAGCTAGGTAAAATATAATAATTCGTAAAACTTCGCATTTTCAAGCATTTTTTCACAAGGGTCAATTACCTTGGTATATATATATATACTTCTCTCATTTCCTTCATAAACTATTCCATTATTCACATTAGGCTGCATAACTTCGTTTTAATTTTTAATAAACTACGAAGATATTGGATTCGATTTTTCAACGCTTTAATGGCGCGAGTCTCTGGGATAGAACTCTGCAAGTGTACTAGCGGGAATTCGTTTCAACATCTCCTTAGGGAAAATACGAAGCAGCTGCCAGCCAATGTCAAGGGATTCAAAGACCGTACGATTTTCATAGCTTCCCTGAGAGATAAAGTTTTTCTCAAATTTGGAGAGAAACTCAAGATAGAGAAGATCATCGGGTGTCAGAGCTTCTTCACCGACGACGGCCTTCATTGCCTGTACATCCTTGCCAATAGCATAACAAGCATACTGGAAAAATAATGATTGATTTTAATAATAATCGATAAGTTGAATCGAAAGTAATATATTAAAAATAGAAGTATTATCGAGAAAAAAACTATCAAGTGCTTAAATTTTTATTGTGAAAATCTAAATTCACTTGTAATTTAATTAGCATGTAATTTAATAAGGAAAATTTAATTAGCAAATTGATTATATATCTACTCCCAATCAATAGATTAAAATACATAATTTTAATTTAATTTTAATATAATTTAATATTATTGATTAAACTATAAAATATGATGAATATTTAGAATTATGACGATACTCAATGTCTTCCTTGTTAAATGAAAAAAAAAGAAGAAATGTACATATAAATGGATAATAGTAGATATATTTTCATATTATATTTGCAAATATTTATAATCTAAAATACAAAACGATAAATAAATACCATAGTATACTTACTAATTGATTAGACACATCGGAGTGATCTTTGCGGGTCATGCCCTCACCTATAGCAGACTTCATAAGACGCGAAAGAGATGGCAGTACATTAACCGGAGGGTAGATCTGTCTATTATGTAATTGACGATCAACATAGATTTGACCCTCGGTAATATAACCCGTCAAATCAGGAATAGGGTGGGTAATATCGTCGTTAGGCATAGTTAAAATTGGAATTTGCGTAATCGATCCATTTCTACCTTCAACACGTCCAGCGCGTTCATAAATTGTAGCCAAATCAGTGTACATGTAACCTGGGAAACCTCGTCGTCCAGGTACTTCCTCACGGGCAGCTGATACCTATAATGAATTTTGCTTATTATAATGCTTTTATTTGACTTCCGTTAATAATTACGTCAAGCAGTGTAATCGCCTTGTATTATATATTAATTTAACGAAATTACTATTAAATTAATTATAAAAATATTCAAAAATATTTTAATCAAATATTTGATACTACTGAAAAATTGAATGTTTAATCGAATTCGTAACAATTATCTAATCGCATACATCTTCTTAATTTCAATAACAATAATATCGAGATATCTTTAATTTAAAGGAAATTCTTATAATAATCGACGTATTAATAAATTTAATTTGGCTTTGCTAATAAAAAAATTGACTAAATGCATAACTTTAAAATACAATTAGTTATAAATATATAATACAATACATGCAATTTAGTTTAATTTTAATGTTATCAAAGAGAAATAAATATTAAAATTTCTATTTGGTAAAGGATAGTTTTGGTTCATTGTATTCCCATTGAAATTGAAAGAATTTTTAATATGGAAACGTCAATAATATTGAAATCATTGAAATTAATAATCATGATCGGACACCTCTCGAAGAGCCTCGGCGTACGATGACATGTCGGTAAGAATGACAAGGACGTGCTTTTCACACTGATAAGCAAGAAATTCAGCGGCCGTAAGAGCAAGTCGCGGTGTGATGATTCGCTCGATGGTTGGATCATTGGCCAAATTAAGGAAAAGGCAAACATTTTCCATGGAACCATTTTCTTCGAAATCTTGTTTAAAGAAACGTGCTGTCTCCATATTAACACCCATAGCGGCAAATACAATAGCAAAGTTATCTTCGTGTGAGTCAAGAACAGATTTGCCTGGTACTTTCACAAGACCAGCTTGTCGACAGATTTGTGCAGCGATCTAAAAATAAGTAAAACACGTTGGTTTGAATTATTTGTTCATATCAAGATAAGAATTGATAATGAATTTTAGATTAACATGGTATCTGATTAAAACTTCTTGATATATTAAAATAAAATTATAGTCCATTTTATTTATCTTAATTATTAGAGTAATGGAAATCAGTATATTTTGCTGTTGAATTAAGATTCAATAGTATACTATTTAATTTGAAAATTCATCTTATTCTAGTTTATTCTATTAATCAAAATTTAATTTCTTACAAGAATTTGATAATTTTTTTTCTTATTTATTGAAATAATAATTATATATTATATTAAAGAGATAAAAATATTTTGTTTATTATCTATTGAAAATCTGAAAATTAAAAAATTACAGCAAAATATAAATCCCTTAACATAGATAGAAATAAACTGTGCAGGATTTGATACTTTGTGATAAATAAAATTTCTGTAATAAAATTATATATTGAAAATTGCTGCAAATTACTTCATTGTGTGGTAGACCCGCAGCTGAAAAAATAGGAATTTTTTGTCCTCTGGCAATAGAATTCATCACATCGATAGCAGAAATACCGGTCTGAATCATTTCCTCTGGATAAATACGGGACCAAGGATTAATGGGCTGTCCTTGAATATCGAGAAAATCCTCTGCCAAGATAGGAGGGCCTTTGTCAATGGGCTTTCCAGAACCATTAAAGACTCTACCCAACATATCTTCGGATACAGGTGTGCGAAGAATATCTCCAGTGAATTCACAGTGAGTATTTTTAGCATCAATTCCAGATGTGCCTTCGAATACTTGAACAACGGCCTTAGTGCCCGAGACTTCCAATACTTGACCAGAACGTATCGAGCCATCCGCAAGCCTTAATTGAACAATTTCAGCAAACTTGGGAAATTTAACTTCGTCCAAAATTACTAAAGGTCCATTCACACCGGATACCGTCTTGTAAGCTTTATAAAACATATATTCATTTAATAGGTATACATCTTTATACATGTGTAATTATTAAAAAATAAAATTTTATTTATCAAAAAGAATGCAGATTGTCTTTTATATTTCATAAAATGAAATAAACATTTTTTCATAATAATAGAACTATTGTATAGTAGGAAATTATTTCATTCTAGGCTTGTTTCATTTTCAACATAAGTGCAATCTTCTTTAAACTTGTTGTCTAAAATATGCTTGAAATATATTATAATTTTGATGATTATTATTTATAGTATGAAATTAATTTTACCAATAAAATAATAAGATTCTTATGCAAAAATTTTCGATAAAATAAATGTTTCGATTATAACGTATAAATCATTTTAAAATTCAACAGCCTAGAAATAAATGCTTGTCCTATCAATATATTTGCTCTTGCTTTCAGAATTATTACAAAAACTTACTTTAATAAGGCAGAAAAATTTGTGCATGCAAACAAGCACGTTAAAAAGTATCGAAATCAAATGACATTTCTTTGCGAACATCTCGTGGGCTAGCACAAGCTGAGACATCCGTCGTCTGCAGTCACATGACACGCGATCTATACTATCACGAAACTAACTTCGATTACTATTACGACTAATAAGCCACTATTACTTCTTCTCTCGACCAGCTGCTTTATTCGTCTTACTTTGCTCTTAGCTCATCCAAAAAGTCTCCGACTCTTATAATCCGATATTATCGGACCATTTGAATATATAGTCAAATGTTTGAAAACAATACAATCAGCTGACAAACTGAGAAACTTATATTATTAAAAGGTATTGCTACGCCCATCTAGAGAATACTTCGGCATAATATATACGATGTCTACTTCGCTCGGGACATCAAGTGCGCATACAAAGATAACGCCCTTTATATTTACTTTTAAAAATATCAAGTTCGTGCTATGTTCGATCAAATTCATACCGAACACTTGGAACTTAGACATTTTTAAAAGAGCGTTCTCGTTTTGCAAATTTATAATGGATACAAGGAGGCTTACGTCGAATGAAAATACGCATAGAGACAGAGAGAAAGGAGAGAGGGAGGGAGAGAGAGAGAGAGAGAGAGAGAGAGAAAGTAAGAGAAAGAATGAAAGCGAATATATGAGAGAGAGAGAGAGAGAGAGAGAGAGAGAGAAACTTACTGAGTCGAGGCTGGGCAATGAAATCGCGGGAGATGGCTAGGACATGCTCCTGCTGAGCCTGTTGAGCTCCGATCGTCTTCGAGAACATATTGCAAGACTAGTCCACCAGCCTTCACTTCGTTAACAACAAATGTGAACACGCGTATGTGTGTACGTGCGAGGGAGAGAGAGAGAGAGAGACAGGGAGAAAAGGTCCTTTAATTTCACAGGGTGATAACTGTCGTCACTGTCGCCGCTGACTTGTGTGTAGCAGAAGGCTGAATGCGTTGCGATATTGCGCCGACGGGGGATGCGCCGCAAATAACAAAGATAGTAATATGATAAGTCAGTTGAGTGGGGATGGATTGTAAAGGATAAAATACAGAATTCGTCTTGTGAGACGATAACATTTTCATCTATTGTACGGTATAAAAAAAGAATATTTTTTTAAAAAGAACTTGAGCCTCGAGGCTGCTTTGGATTTGTACAAAGAAATGTTTTTAAGACTTTCAAAATGATGATCGATCTATAGGTGTGAGAAAGATGAAAAGAGCAGGAACGAAGCACGTGGGATCACGTGGCTTAAGTTCTGGTACTTATTAAGTCGAATTCAGGATTTTCAAATGAATAGGAAATGCTTTTGATCGATTCCAAAACTAGGATAACATTATAATTGCAGTTTACTTTTTATTAACTACATTTAGAATTTTTTATAGACATAATTTTTTTTTAATAATAAAATATTTGACTCCTGGATGTGACTAACTTGGTTCTACGCTTATCATAATTTTTGGCGCTGAAATTCAAATTTTAGTAAAAGAAATGATATTAGAGATTAATAGATGCAACATTCATAGTAGATTCTACATAAGATATGAATATTTTCTTAATAAGAATTTTTATTTTTCTTTGTGCCTAATATATATATATATATATATATATATTCAATTATTTATTTCAAAATTCTTATATAAAACTATAAAATATTATAAAAACCATAAATTATTAATAAAATATTTAATATGATATTAAAATTATAATATTCTTATATTATATATTATATTATATATATTATATATATATATATATATATACACTAAAAAATTGTAATTATGTTATATTAATTCTTCTTTATTTGAGAAAATACGAAGCAAATTAATTTTAATTATATAAAATAATTAAATCAAATTAGATCAAATTACGTTTAAAAAGTGCAGTAAACTATTATTATTGTAAAAAATACAAATGATGAAGTTAAAATATATGTTAATAGAAACTATTTGAACACTATAATCTTATAATTTTTTCTATTTACATGATCAATTATTTCATGTTAAAATTTTTCCCAAACTTGTATATCTGTAATTGCTTTTTTATAAAAAATTATTAAATTATTAGGAACAAATATTAAATATATCAAATTGTTCAATAAAGTATTTGTTTTAAAATAATCTTTATATGTCAATTAAATCAATTTTTTATTTAAAAACGTTTCATAATAAATTGTAATAATACATCAAATATCTTATTTAAATAGTTCCTAAAGTTATAAAAAATATTTTTAAATTTATACAATTTTCAATATTTAAGGAAATTAAATTCATTCTTACTATACGTTTTTCATGACAATAATTTAATTAAACTACATACAAAATTTATTAATAATAAATATTATATATTTAAATTTTAGTGTATAATCTAGATGCTCTGATTTGTACTCTTAGGTATGTATAAAAATAAATGCTTTGAAACATTCCAAATTGAGAAGTAACTTTACAATATTTTAAATATATTATCAGTATCTATAAAATATAGTATACATCAAAATATATACATATGTATATTATTAGATTAAAGTACCTCAAAATGTTTGTTATAATATTTATTTTTATACAGCAAATACAAGAAATTTTTTGATCATCTAAATATACTTATTAAATATTTTTGAAATTCAGATATAGAAATTCTGTTTGTACAAATAAATACATGTTTGTAAATACAATCTCTGATAATAACTTCCACTCATGAACTTTGAAAAAAAAAAACAATACCATGCATCGCATTTGATAAATACGAGCAATCAGTCGTACAAGATAACTACTTATAACTGTACTCGTGGTCCATCTAACTAGATAAAACAAAAATATACAATCTATTAATAATGCATTATGTTGATATTAATAAATATGTTTAATTATTAGATTTGTATTACAGTAATACTATAGTAACATACATTGAATATGTACACCATTAAGTCATATTAATAATTTTATTTAATTTAAATAATTGAATCGTTTTCGCCTTTGTACAAAACAAACTTGTGATAAGTCATAAAACGAATACATGTATTATGTATCTCTGGCTAATGCAAATTTTAAAACATACGTCAATTTAAAAAATCTTTTAAAGAAAAATAATGGATTTATATAAAAAAAAGGCAATAATTTAAATTTTGTCGACAATGGTTATTAAATTACATATTAATTTGTATTGCCCAACACCTCTATTTTTCAAATATATTTCAATGATAAAAATATAATCATTACATATATGTACAGTATGCTTATCTAGTTTAAATTAATGTTCAAAAATGTTTATTTTTGAATCTTTATTTTGAAATATTAAATATTTTGAGATACTGTTAAAATTTAAAATCAATCAATTTACAATTATTTGAATTCTACTATTGAGTTTTACGATCTCATTTTTTTAAATATACAGTTAAATAATAAACATATAAATATGTCAATACCATACTTGATGTTATATAATTTTGTATGGAAAAATTAAGAAATTAAAAATTAATTTTTATTTGAAAATATTTGCTAATTATTTTTCATATTTGAAAGTGGCCTTATTCTTTAATATTGCAATATTTAAATATTAAATGTATTGAATTTGAACAATTATGTTGTAAAGAATAATTTAAATTGTTTATTATAATAATTTTATTTTACAATTTAATAATATTTTACAACAATTTATATTGCTAGATGTTTAATTGTATATGATACTAGCATTTTTAATAATTATAAAACATCAAAAAAATGTTAAATTTTTATACAAGCATATTATACATATTATATATAGAACAACATTTGCACGTTATTTTTTTAAATGTAATGAATATTAGTTATTGAAATGTATTAAATATTAACTAATAATAACTGAAAATAATACTTAAATAAAATATAAGAATAACTTTCGATTTGAATTAAAAAAGATAAAATTTTTTTTCCAAATACAACGTATAATAAAACTATAGCACCACCACTTTGTTTCTGTTGCTCAGTCTTTCTGTCTGTCTTTCTTCTCTGTTGCTCTCTCTCTCTCTCTCTCTCTCTCTCTCTCTCTCTCTCTCTCTCTCTCCCTCTCTCTGTATATATATATATATATATGTATAGATCAATGCCTGTTTATCATTACGAACTTACATTACATTATATTAAATTATTAAATTTTCATTTAATATTGTTTTTCATATATTGTAATAATATTTTTATATTGGGTTGAACATTTTTCGTATACACATATGTAGCCTTTTTTGTAAAAAAAAAATCCAAATTAATAAAGAAAAAACATGCTAGTGAAGAAAAAATTGCCTAAAAATGAATTGATTATTTTATTATTAAATTTACCTACTATAATTCCATTAGAATACGTTATGATTTTTTTTTTTTTTTTATAATTCATTATTTTATATAATATATTTTATGAATATAGAATATAAATTCTTTTTAGTGAATCATTACAGTCGCACAATAAATTCATAATGCGCGCGTGATCAGCGACTTATATATACAATACTGTAAGTTCGATTTATCATTTCGATTTATGACTATCGTGATGATGACGATTATGATCAGCATCTGATAATGAAATTATATCTACAAACGTCATTTATATAGCAGCATCCAACAAGTTTGGCAACTCTTCATTTTTTCATTTCAAATGCAAGCCATCGAGCGCTAGTGAGTTGCAGCCTGCACTCTTCAGCTAAATTTTAGAATCTTAGTGGCTTAGTCGGTTTGAACATCAACACGGTTGTGAGAACTATTCTGTGCATCGTTTGAGGTATTCAGTCAGTTCAGTTGATTTTTGATTGAATAATAGTTAGTGGTCGTTTTGCTGGCGGTAGTGTATAATTTTTCACGCGTGGAAAACAGTGAACATATATACTTATACAAGGCATTCACGTCATCGGTCTATATTCTAAAACGGGTATTTTTATTTTATTTTTCTATTCAAATAAAACTTAACGGGGCAACCCGGTCAATTTCATTTGTATTTCAACCTTTAGCAGCTGTTAGAAAAATTGGACGCCAAACGCGTACGTACTTAAAGTGAAGGTAAAAGTGATTTCTGAACACTTTTAAATTGAGATATTGAGCAATTTTAGAAAACTTATTCACATTAATTATGTCCATCATAATTCAGAGTTAAATGCAAACGGCATTGTTAGAATAATATAACATATTTCTAGTAATTAAAGAATGATAATAATTACTTTAATAAACTGTATTTTGTTATAAAGGTTAACATTTATTATAAAGATTGGCATTTCTATAGCTATAGCACAATTTACTATTTATAGATAAAATGTATGAAATATATAAATGTATATTATAATTTATTAAATTATAAAAGCTAACAGTAATAATCAATGGTCTGCAAGAGAATAGATTTTCACAGTTTTGCAACATCAAAATTTAATGTCAAACTCTTAGTTTAATTTTTGACATTTTTTTTAATCATTTCATTAATTAAACTCTATAAAATTAAAAGAGATCAAGATTAATTTTATATGCAGTAAAAATGAAAATAAATTTATATAAACTAAAATTTTTTATTTAAGAATTACGGTTAAATATCATATAATTTTATTCTGATTAAAAAACAATTAATATAATTGGAAACAATAAAATAATTAAAATAATATATAATTTTTAAAATATATATTTTTAATTACGAATTATTGAATTTTACTATAGATTCTTAAATGTAATTTTTTATTATTAAAGAAGAGTAAACTATAAAAGTAGATTCAACCGAATGACATTGCAGTTTTAAAGAAACCATAAATCTTAAACTTTAAACTAAGCTTATGATTTATGCACTTAAAATAATTAAAAAGGAATAATTCTCAGAATTTTTATTTATATTTTTTATAAAATTTTATAATTCATGATGGTATGTTATACGATTAGACCTGTATTAATTTTATGAATAACATATTTCTTAATGTATTCTAAAAAACAAGAGTTCATTTATATTATACATATATAATTATATATAAAAATGTTATAAATATATAAATTAATGTGAAAAAATTACTGCAATAGAGTTTATTATTAAATTATTACTATTAGATTTATTCATCAAACTTCTATTTTTTCGTTCTAGAAATCAAACTATTTATTTATTCAACGTGAATTATACATTTCTTTTCTTTATTATTATAAAATTTTTTAATAATTATTTCATATTGATTACTAATTTTTAAAAATAAGTTAATAATTATTTTTATTATACATTTTAATTTACTTTCATTTTGTTATTGATTAAGATTGATTTAATTTGCATTTATTTTAGTGAATCAAAATAATCCCAGACTATTGATTTTCTTGATAAAATTTTCAAATTTAATTCTTCGAATGGATTATTTGTATACATTTATTTCTAAAACAGAGAAATACTTTAAAATAATTTTTAAAAATACAATGTACTAGCTCAACAGCTTTTAAATTCAATAATAAACATTGTTTGGAATTTATTTCGCTTAAAATTAATTTGAAATAAAATATATTTTTATTTAATTAGAAGAAGTTTGTATTTCATATTGTACTCACCATTTTAAATAAAACAAGTTATATATATCGAAATTATATTCAAATAGTTATTAATTGCTATAATAATAGACTTATAAGAAAATGATGCTTTTATTATTAAATATTTGCTTATTAAATGCTAATTTTTGTAAGATTCGATGACATAATGAAAATCCAATGTAATTTGAATATCGAATGTACTGAACAGAAATTATACAAGTTATTAAATGAATTTTGTAAACAATTTCGAAAAAATGTAAACTTTAAAATCATCAATATTTGTACAACTATACAATACATTATTGTTCAGTACTTGTACAGTAAAATCATACGATCTACGTAATTTATGCTAATATATCATGTTTTATTAAAAAAAAAAAAAATTATCTTTTCAAAGTTTATAAATACTGAGACTATTTTATTTATATATAACTGAGTTTGTTAAGTGCTCATGTACCGAGAAATATAATAAGATTAAAAAATATTTTAAATTATACTAAATTTAAATGTACTTGTTACATTTTTATAAGCTAGTGTAGATTAAGCTTCAATAATCATTATCGATCGGCCATTAATTAAAAGAATTTTGCGATGAAGTATTTAATTTTAAAAAGCTATTTAAAAAATATTTGAAAAATTGTATTTGTTAATTTTATGATATTTATACAATTTGAATAACTATGAAAATATAACCTTGCAAGCATTTAAATTTTAACTTCGAAATAGTTCTCCTCGAACTACTTTTAAATTATATTTTTGTCTAAATTAAATTCATTTATTTTTACCTCACAATAAATTTTCTCTATTTTTAATGTATTTTTAAATTTTATATTGCGCTCTCATTACATTTCATAATAAATAAATGTCTCGATTTTAAATAAATTATATTTTTTTAATTTAAAAGTAATTCAATACATTTTCTAATAACATTTAATTGATCGATTGTTTACATTTTCAAATCGTTTTTGTCGTAATTTAAACGATTTATTTATTAAATTTCCAAGAAATGCGCATCGTCTTATCTGCAGTACTGTAAAAATAATATAATTGATTCGTCGTCTTATATTCTACAATAGTTTTTATTGTTTTTATTGAGATATCTAAAACAAATTTTGTTTGTTTGTTTACTTGTGTTTGTGTTTGTGCGCGCGCGCGCGCGTATGTATATTTTACTTTTAAGGTAGAATAAATTGGCATTATGTTAATATAGAAATTTTTAATTGTAATGAAAACAAATTAAATTTTTAATAATTTGATTATGTTTCTAAACAAAAAGAGATGGCTGAAGAAATAATTTAATTTTATAATCTTTTTTTTTTTTTAATTGACACACTCAATGTTGATTTTTCTTTTTATTTAAAACAAGTCTAATGTTAATAGAAAAAATTGAAAAAATTAAATCTCATTCTTAATAGAAAACATGAGTTTTTTCATACATAAAATATCATGATTTATAATAATAACTCGACAGTTTTTTTCTTTATGTATATGAAAATATCCAGGTAATTTGACGAATATGCCATCAATTCTTTGATCAATTCTTTGAAACAAACAGATATTTGTTTTTCTTAATTTCCGATTACAGTAACAATACATTGCATTATATAAGCTCGATTAATAAAGAAAAAAGAAATAATTCATCGAATCGTTAATTGTGTATTATGAAATGTAAAGCAAAGATAGTAAACTTTATGCGTTTCGGATGAAAGAGTTTCTTTGTTAACAAATTTATTTGATAATCAATTAATAGGCTGTGTTTTCAATTATTGTGCAGTCGCGTTGACCTTAACGTTCCCAATTCCAAGTAGCCGAGGAAGGCAGATTGGCGCGTATCATGTCGCTCCAAAAGATGACGAGTATGACGCGATGGTTATCAGCCCTGCGGCCGTACCGGGTTACATTTGCCTCAGCGACCAAGAACTACTATACATATGTGAACGAGCCGTCAATGCTGATACCCAACAAGGAACCTTGCTATCTTGAATGCGCCGAGGAGGCCCTCGAGTCCGCCGGCTTAGCCTCGAGTGAGTAGCCTACGTGACCGATGTCGTGACCTTTAACCCACTTGGCACGAGAAGAAAATGCTAAATTAGCTACTATTCGTCATTAAATGAAATCTTTTTAAACGAGTTCTGATTCTTGTAATTGTAAACAATAGTGAGCTTGATATAGAGTAACACTGGGAAAGAATTTTTTGTACGAATTGGTCGACCGTTGTTATTTAAAGTGCAATTCGAACTGAAAATTCTATCCTGATAACAAAAGGCTATTACTGACATTTCTAGTTTTAAGACAATTAAATTTTTAAAAATAATTTTATGTTTTTATAAATAGAGAAAACATCTGATTTTTTTTTCATTTTGAAAAAGAATATATAGATTAGTTTATTGAAATTGGATGAATAAGAATTAACTAGTAATTTAATATATTTATATATATCGCCAATATCTTATTTAATACATAATGCATGTAGACGTAAAGCGAAATACTGATCAAGCTCTTTTGAAGAATTTTGAAGAATATAATTAAGAGTATAAACCTACCATTAGCTTATCACACGATTATTCATCGTTTCATGCATTGAAAATCGCTATGCTAATAGTAAAAGTATATTTACAGAATTTGACAATCTTGATGAATAAATTATTTAACCATTAAAAGTTATTCCAACAAATATTTACTTATTATCTACAAAAATAATTTTCCTATTTTGTGAATTAAATCTGAAAAATAATTTAAATTGAGATAATTAATTTAGCTAAATATCATCTATTTTTACATAATTTGTATTATTTATGAAAATTTATGCGCTGTTTCAGCATTCATCGAATTTGAAATATCGTTACAAACATTATTAAAACATGTTTTATATTTCATATAAAATGCAAATCAAGTACTTTGAATATCTAATTAATTATATATAATATAATAAAATATAAAACACGAACAAGTAATAATAATAGAAATATACATTTTTTAATTATTTATTAATTCATTTAATTACTTTAATTTTATTAAAATATATTTTTAGCAAGTATGCTATACATAAAATTAGTGATGTATTACTGTAGTAATTAGAAATTTATATAAAATCTGTTTAGAAAATTTTTTCGAAATTATGCTGTTTTAATTTAAAAATTAATGAAACAAAACTTTAACCATTTATATATAAAAAATAATCTTATTGACAAATATTATAGATTAAACAATTTATAATTTGATTTTTCGTCTATAGAATTAATTACTTGAAGTTTTTCCTATTCATTCATTGCATATTGATAACATTGATAGCAGAAATATAATTTTGTTGATAATATTAATATTCATTTATATAATCGATTATAACATTTTTCAATGATAAGTATTTATTAATCATAATTTAATATTAACATTAAATTAATAATAAATTTCAATTTACAATCTGATAAAACATCATTTAATTTGAATAAATATGTTATAAATACAGCCTTTTTTAAACTAGTAAAAAAAATGATATTTTATTTACTTTTGTTTTTATTTTTTTCAGTTCAATAATATTTTTATTAATTATATTAATAAATTATAAAACAAGACATTTAATACTTGTACATAACCACTACATCAATAATAATTCAACAATAATTCTTTGAATTATATTGAATATATAAGGTGCCGTAAAAGACAATTTATGTCCTTGATGGCAAAATTAAAAAAACATACATTGAACATTGTTGAATGTTCGATATTTGTTAGTAATATAAATTTGTACCTAATACAAATATTATGAATAGAGATGTAATTATATATAAAAAATTTATCAAATATTTAATTTAATTAACGATTAAGTTTAATCATTATTCTAATTGCTTTTTAAAGTATTTCCAAGATTATAATTGAATATGTACTTTTATAATAAACAGAAATTATTGTATTTATTTTTACTACAATTTGGCTAAAGATATAACAATAGCGTGTATAATAATTATATTATTATATATTGTATATACGAGTGCATTTAATTTAGCCGTGATGTTTGTTCATTGCAAAAAAAATGTCTAAAAGTCAAGGATAACATAAAAATTATATATCTGAAAAGAATCATACAAGTTAATTTTTTGTTTTCTTTTTATTATTGTTACTCTAATATTTATTGAGTTGGAATATTTCATTGGAATAAATTCAAGCAAATATTGTATTCTGTAGTTTGTGAAAAATTTTCGTTAAAATCTTTAAACAAAGATAATCTTTTAAATAAGTAAGATATACTTACATAAACGATATTAAATTCTTTCACTTCTAAAAAAGCGTCGAAGAATTAGTACGATTAAAAAAAAAAAAAAAAAATGTTTCATAAGGTAGGTTTTAAAATGAATTATACAATTATAAAGTTGAAATTTTTTACATTATGATAAATGCAAAGCAATATGACTTTAATATCTGCATTCGATTACTTAATAATAACAATAATGATAGAAAACTTTTAAAATTTAGTATCTTTACTGAGACAATTTGTCATGTTCATAGTATCATGTCGATAAACCATTTTTTCTCAAACCTCCATATTATATACTTACACCCATAATTATGACACAAGATCGATTTATTTAATTAAATTTGTATTAATAGATTTGTTTTATCAACCTAATTATTATATGTCAAATATTTTTATTATTCTGATTTAATACATACTTAGAGTATCATGTTATAACAATAAATTACAATTGAAATGCTAATTGGTGGATCGATATTTGTAAAAAATAAATTCAATGTTTTAATAATGTATATTTTTTATATTTATATATTACGATTTATTTTTATACATTTCAGATTTTTATTTGTTATTCAATTACATAGAATTATAAGTGTTATATAAGTTTGTTTGTTAATTGTATAAACAACATTATAAGGTAGAAAATTGTGTTTCGTATAATTACATATTGAAATTATTGAATAAAGTTCTTAATTTAACATATTAAAATAAACGATTACCCTAAGAAGAGGCTGCTTCTCTTAAATATTTACAAATTTTATAAAAGTAACAAAGTGCTTCCATCTATGGAAAAATATGCTATTTGCTCATTTCACAAGGAACAGCACTTTGGACTTGATATTCTATTTTCACGATTTCAACTAATTATTAGAATTATTGAATAGAAAAACTAAATAAAACTTTTATTATATAATGAATTAGTAGTTAATATTAATACAAATATTGTTTAAAGTATTTATGAAAAATAATTGGTAAAATATTCTTGATTTTTTTTTCTTCTATAAAGCAAATGAAAGTTTATTTGACTGTATGACGATTAAGCTACGTACTTATCATCCAAATAGCATAAGATTGTAATAAGCTACATTTTAATTTAAAAATTCCATCTATTAAAAAATTAATAATATTATTAGTTATTATTTACTAGCCGCTAATTTCTATTACAATTTATGCTCAACTGCATAAATGTAACTTTTATAATGTAAAATTTTTATAATAATAGATATAATAAAACTTTGAATTTGCAAATCTATAATGCCATCAATATTTTTTTAATGTTTTTAGATCAAATTATATTCGTTCAAGGAGCAGCAGCAACGCCAATAGAACTTCTTCGAGGAATGACCGAAATAGGCATAAAAAAAAATGTCGACAATGTTAAATTATTCCATATGCATCTTGAAGGAAAAGCTTCGTTTGCCAGTAAAGAAGCTGGAAGTACGTTTTTAATTTTCTACTGAAAAATATATTTTCGAAGTATTTACAATGTCTTGTATTATCTTGAATACAATGAAAGTTTTAATTTTCAAAACGTATTGATTAATATTATTGGTAAATTGCAATTATGAATTTTTAACTTGTTGTTTTCGAACCTAATGTAGAAATTGATTCAACTGCTGTTGACGTTTAATCGTAATCATACACAAGCTTAATAGTTAAATTAAATGTATACAAATTAAAGAAAGTAAATAATAATAATATCATAAAATACGTTAAAAACTAAAAATTCAATTATATGAGACACGGTATCAAATACGCTTAAATATTAACAAATCAGAAATTGAAAATTTCGATAAAGAATTTACGAACCATAAATACAAACGAATACCGAAAATTCGATCATTAGTTTTTGTTAATTTGTTATCTTGATAAAATTTAAACTTTCTTTGCTGATATTAAAAATATTTGTTTAAACACTAAAAATTAAATAATCATTCAGTAATAGTTGCTAAAAAAAGAAAGTTTATTTTGAAATTCCTTTTGCAATTGTTTAAAGTAAGACGGTTTCGTGATGTCCAGAACACTTCAAATCGATCAGTCTATTCATTGGTGGTAATGTGAGGCAAGCCGTGAACGAGGGTCAGGCCGATTGCATCCCAATCTATCTAAGCGAAATTCCAAAGCTTTTTAACGAAGGTCATATCAAACCAAATATTGCGCTGATTCAAGTCACTCCACCAGATTCGAAAGGTTATTGCTCATTAGGTACCAGCATTGATTGCGTTAGAGCAGCTCTCATCCATTCCAAAGTAGTTGTTGGTAAGTTGATCTATTTTATATGTTTATTATTCTAATGGTATTAATTAATGTACACATTTTGATTTAGAATTATATATTATTAAAATAATAATATATAAAATTTCATATTTTATTCTTAAAGTGATTTCAATTACAAAAAATTGATTTTTGTGATTATATTTCATGTTTGAATAAAAAGTTTTTTTTTTAACATAAGTAAATAAAACATAATATAAAGTGACAAAATATTGTCAATAATATTAAGACCAAATATTAGAAAAAAAAACATGAAAGTTTTTTAATTTAGTTGGTTAATTTAAAAATGTATTTAAATAAACAAATTAAAATAATCGGTATTTAATAAAATGTACTTCATAATTACGGTATTATATAAAAGTTCCAATATGAAATTTCATATTAACATATTAATTGCATATATATATATATATATATATATATATATATATATATATATTTATTTATTTATTTATTTATAGCCCAAATAAACGAGTATCTACCAAGAACATTTGGCGATGCATTGATTCACAAAAGCCATATTGATTTTGCTATATGCCATAACGAGCAGTTACCGAATCATGGCGGTAAAGCACCAAGTAAAGAGGAGCAGCAAATCGGCAAAAATATTGCAGATAATCTTGTGGAGAATGGTGCAACATTGCAACTAGGTATCGGCAGTATACCAGATGCGACCCTTGCTTTACTGAAAAATCATAAAGATCTCGGTGTTCATAGTGAAATGTTCAGCGATGGTGTCGTAGATCTCTTTAATTTAGGATGCGTCACGAATAGTAAAAAGCAATTACACACAGGGAGAATTGTTGGATCATTTTGCGTTGGCACTAATAAACTCTATGAATTTATGAATGATAATCCCTATATTGGTAAGACTAATAAATTAAGTATTTTCACCCTTTTTTATTTAAAAACAAATAATTATCATTTCTCTTTTGGATAAAGAAATCGTATTTTGTTTTATATAGATAAAGAAAGTATATTTATTGAAATTCATTTTGTTTTAATTTTCAATAGCGGTATTTAATTTTAGACTGTGTAATTATAATTAATAAAAAACACATATTTAGGAACTTTAATTAATTCGATTTAGTAAAAATATAAAATTTATAATGAATATAATTTTCATATTCATTAATATCAGTTACATTTTACAAACATCAGTTTTTTTTTTTGCATTTTTAAATGTGTTTTTTTTTATAGTAATAATTTTTCTTGTATTAGTAAACAATTTAAAAATATTTTTTTATAAATAATGTAATTGTTTAGGTAATTGAAAAGTCTTTTATTAATAAATTAATTTAAAGAAAAAAATATTTTTTTAATTTTTCTTTAAATTCGTAATAATGAGAAAAAAAATTATATTGTAATTTACACATAAATGAACGATCTCAAATAATAATATTTATCTCTTTTTATGCATTTATAATAATGCTTTATAGAAATGCTAAGAGTTGATTATGTCAATGATCCAAGAATCATTGCGAAGCAGCCAAGAATGACAGCAATTAATTCTTGTATTGAAGTTGATATTACCGGGCAGATTTGTTCAGATAGTATTGGACCGAAAATGTATTCTGGTTTTGGAGGTCAGGTTGATTTCATTTCTGGTGCCGCAATGAGTGAAGATAAATTAGGGAAGCCAATTATTGCCCTCAGATCCACAACAAACAAAGGCAATAGTAAAATAGTTCCAATGCTTAATTTAGGTAAATTTCTTGAATGATAATTAAATAAATTTTAGTATGAATGCTTTTTGGCTATTTTAAGTTAATTGATCTTATAGGAACAAAATTTATAAAGAGAAACAGTATAACAATATTTATATATATGTATTGATTAATATATGTATTGATAAATACATATAATACAAACATACATTAGCAAATATAATATTTTTTTTAAATACAAAGAATTATTATTATTACAACTATTTTAGTAATATATTTTTTTTTTCAATTATTTCTTACGTTAATCATCATTATGATTAAATGTATTCAATATTATTGTAACGTATTAAATGTGTGCTAAGGAATGTTTGAAAAATCTAAATTATGAAAATTTATTTTGAAAATAAATCTTTAAGCTTAACTATTTTACATCACTAATATTAATTATATTATATTATATTTATATATTGTGATAATAAGCTTAAATGTTGATTGTGACTAGTAGTATTCATTACTAATAATTATTCTTTTATATATTCTTATTTTTTCTATTTTTAATTTAAAACAAATGATATATGAAAAGTTTTATTTCGAACTGTTAAAATAATAATTTTATATTAATACAATAATAACATAAGTTTAAAGTCTTGTATGATTTTAAATGACGATTTAATATGATTTCATAATTGTAATAGTCAATATAAATCTTATGAATTTAAGTAAAATTTAAGTAAATTTTATTATTTAATAATATAAAATTGTGTAAAATGGTTAATTTTTTTAAGCGATAATTTAAAAATTCTTTAAATAATAATTAATTTTCTCATATTTATACGTAAAATATATGATGTTAAAATGATGTTTTAGGTGCTGGAGTTGTTACATCTAGAGCTTTAGTACGATATGTTGTGACAGAATGGGGAATAGCTAGTCTTTTTGGTAAATCGTTACAGCAAAGAGCTTATGAGCTCATTCAGATAGCTCATCCAGATCACAGAGAAACTCTTGAAAAAGCTGCTTTCGATCGTTTAAAAGTGATGCCTGAGAAAAAAAATTATTAATTATGTGTAAAACAAAAAAGTAATCAATTAAGATACCATTCCATATATTCGGAATATTCACTGATTAAATTTGTAATTATTTCTAATATTTTTTAAAGACTTACATCAAAAGTACACTAAATTAATTCTCTTTTCAAAAAATAATATAAAAGCGATACTTTCAATAATTCAATAATTTTGCACAAATATATTTATCAAAATACCTTCAAAATTACAAATAAATTAGATTCAAATTCGTTTAATTATATATGAGTCAAATGCATTAAAATGCAAGTATATGAACAATCTTGTACTTTTTTACGACAATGTATATAATTATAATTAGAGATAAATATTCTTTTCTATAGACATTGTGTTCATAGACATTGTATGAAACAACGGAAAGGCTAAAAATATAAATCAATATAGCACTATAAATTGGATTATAAATATGAAAGAGCAATGCTAAGTCATGTAGAAGTAAATTTATTTACCTATACGACATGTATGCCATGTCGATATTTTCTTATGGTATATAACTGTTTAATCAGTTGTAAAATACGCTTTGAGAGAGGAAATTGACAAGTTGTCAATATAGTGTCATTTGAATATTTACCAATATTATTTTGTACTAAATTTACTTTTATATATATTTTATATGATCTTTCTTATATATCTATATATACGTGTATGTGTGTATATATATATATATATTAATGTAAAAAAGGCTAATGTAAACATTTACTGCGCACTTTATTTGAATTAAAAATCCAATTTAATACTAGGAATGTATAAAAGAGTTTATTTTATCATAATATGCAATGGAAATATTTTTAAATAAAAATGCTTCCAACATTTAATATATTTTTTTTGTATCTTACATTATATATTTATAATTATTTAATAATTAATGGATCTACAGTGGATATTTTAAGTAACATAATTTTTTAAATAAAAGTATTAAAACATATTTTTAAATAATAAAATAAAATTTTAGTAATAATTATATTAATATTTTTTATGTTATTTTTTGTTTTAAAAATTATAAATAAATTAACTTAAATATTAAATTAAAGATATTGTAATATTAATAAAACCTAATTCCTTATAATATTATTTATAGAATAAAATTTACTTGTATATAAAAATTGAGAATTTAGAATTTATATATTAATTATATAAATACGTAAATAACATTATACAAGTAATTATTTGTTTTATTCTTTTACATTAACGCTTGAAAAATGTTTACTAATATACAATTGTATAAGAAATTCTCATGCATAATCATTTTTAAAAAAGTTCAGTTTTTATATTTACATCCGATATCACATGATCAAATGTATATGTATCCTGGGTTTAATAAGGTATTTAAATACAAGGAAATCATTCATCATAATCGTAAGATTGATCGTTCTATAGAATGATCGGCTGTTCAAAAAAATCGGCAAAATAATGAGTAAAATCGGTTTCATATTAACGTGATTATGCATATCGAGGATTCCAAGTTCTAATTTATTGTAAAATTTATGGATCATATTTTTTCGATAAATTGAACAAGTGACGTTCTGATCAAAAATATAAAATTTAGATAATCATGAATGGCTGGCAGTTTTTTGTTTTCATCAAATAGGAACTATTGTATAGTAACTGATTTTTTTTTATTTAATACTTAAATATTTAATAATTACTTATTACTTTTTTTATTTAGAACTTTTACTCATTCAAATTTTGCGTGATTCATTATAAACTTTTATTGATATAAACAATAAATTTCAAAGAAAAATAAATCAAGTATTTTAATAATTAAAAGTTACATATTCTATATTTTTAATGTCGAAATCTTAAAATTCTCTTTTAAAATAAATATTTATAGAGTATTTTATTCAACTAATAACTTTATCTATAATTATAAGTAAATATATTATTTAAATAACCAATGCCTATATATATATATATATATATATATATGCATGTGTATGTGTGCGCGCATGTTCGTGTGCATTTATAAATTAATTATTTTAATTCATTATTATGAATGCACTATATATAAATAATATTGAGTTACATATTTATCTTCTTATAGTTAATAATTTTATTTTTCAGAGAAGAATATGTGTTAATGTTAAACAATAAAAGTGTAATAAACAGTTTATTTGTTAAATATTCTAATTTATTCTAGTATTATAATATAATATATGAACACTATTTTAATTACCTAATACTTGAGTGAAAAATGTTTAATGATCAAGAAAATAATATATTTCCATTTTTGCCAGCAATAAAAACTAAGGATATAAATTTAATTAAACGTGAAAAATTAAATTTTAAAGAATAATGACGTAAATCTTTGGTATCGAAGTGAACTTGGTGAAACTTTAGTGCATATTGCTGTACGCAATAATTTTAAAGAATTGTTAAGGTTCGTTATAAGTAAAGGACTTGATATTGATAGTATTGATTTTAATGATAAAACTGCATTACATTTAGCAGTTGATATGGTTAAATATCTTTTAGAATACAAAGCAAATATAAGTATTCAAAATCGTTATGGACAAAGTCCTTTTCACGTCGCTATTACAAAATGTAGAAATGAATTAGTTGAATTATTTTTACAATATGGGGCAAACGTATTAGAAACTACATCATTTATACATGAAAGTGGTTTTGATATTGCTTTAAATAATGAAGATGAAGAAATGTTTCAATTACTTTTAAAAAATAATTTTGATATTAATGCAGTAGACGTATATGGGAACACTCTTTTACATAAATTAGCAAGACATAAATTTATTGAATCAACAAGAATTTTACTTGAAAAAGGATCAAATTTTGAAATAGCTGACGAAAGTGATAAACAGCACTTTATATTGCTATTTTTTTCAGAAATTTCAATATTTCTAAACTTTTTATAGAATTTGGTGCAAATATTAATGTAACAGATAAAAATGATGAATGCCCATTACACATAGCAATTAGACTTCAGGATCTAAATCTTACTAAATTACTATTAATAAATAATGCTTATATAAATAATTATACAAATATAGATAATACACTTCGTACTGCACTATTATATTTCACTGAAGATATTGTAAATTTACTATCAGAGAATGGTGCTGTTATTGATATTATGAATTCATCCAAATATAGCCTTATTCGTTCTGCAATTAAAAATAAAAATTTAGAAGTGGTAAAAATACTTGTAAATAAGGGTGTTGATGTAAACTCTAAAGTACATGGAAGTTTTGTAACTATTTACCAAAATCAAATTAAAAATCAGGGTGAAATTCACTTGATCTTGCAATTCTCCAACAAGATATTAATATAATTAAATTTTTGTTAGAAAATGGTGCAAAATTGAATATCACGAATAACCATGAAATATTTTTAGCAATTGAAAAAGGAACTCCAGAAATTGTTGAGGAATTAATTAAACATGGAGCAAATGTCAATGTTAAAAATTATTTAGGACATTCGCTTCTTTATATGGCAATGACTACTCGTAATCAACAGAAAGTTGAAATACTTCTAAAAAATGGAGCTGATTTGAATAATATTAATGAAAGGGGAATTAACAATGAGTCTGCCCTTTATTTAACTGTGAAGGCGAATGATAATAAGTTTGTTGAGTTGCTTTTGGATCTTGGTATTGATGTTAATATTTGTGATATATATGATTCTACAGCTTTATTTTGGGCACGTAAAAGTTCACGTGCTGCTCCACCTTTAATAGAAAAAATAGCATTATTAAAATTCAATAATTTTGTTGTCAGTGAAAAAAACGAATTTGTCATACATACGGTTTATCAATTTCAAGCATATTTTTCAAAATGCTTAAAAGAATTATTGATAATAAAAAAGGAAAATTATTATAATATTTCTCTTATGAACTTTTTGACTGATGATGTATCTTTATTAGCTAAATATGTAAGCTCAAAAACAGTTATAATCAAGTTTCAAAAGGCAATTAAAAGAAATGAATTTCCTATATATCTTAAAAAATTAATACAGAATATGAACAAAGGTATTGAAAGATGGAATTTAATAAAAGAAATGAAAGTGCTTTTGTGTTTAATAGCTCCCTTTAAACTTCTGTATGATGTATTAGATAAAATAGTTGATAATTTTTCGAATAAAGAATTAAAAAGTTTTATAAAATACTCAAGTGATTTTGGAAAAAAAAATTAGATAATCTGAGGTAATAATGATTTAAATAGTTATTTAAAATTATTAGAATAAGTGACCAATTGCTGTAATATTTATTGTAGTTTAATTATACCAAATATACATGTATTTAGCCTTTTTATGAACTTTTTCATAAAATTGTATGCAAAGTATGGATAATTATTTATTTAAATAAAATAAAATTATAAATCATTCTTTAATTTAATTATATTTCTTATTCTTTTACTCCTTTGAATTTAAATATTATTTAACTCACTAAATACCTATGACAATTATACATGGTTTTAATGTTAATTAATAATATTAAAAATATTTAATAAAATAATGTTATCAATTTATATAAATTGTACTGCATATACAATGATTATATTATATTAATTAATAATTAATTTAAAAAGTAAGATCATTGTTATGGCTTAAGACATTTTTCTAATTGTTTTCTATATAAAAATTTATGTTAAAAATTATAAATATTTGATTCCTAATTTTTAATTCGTAATTTTCTTATGAAATTTTTGCAATCATATTGTTAAATTTATTATAATCAATGAAAAAGTAAGAATGAAAGAGAAAATGAAAATTCTAAAATTATATTTAATAATAATTCTAAAATAATAAAAATTATTATTAATAATTATTTATTCAATTATTTCAATCGTGACTTTAGAAAAAACTACTTTATTTTAAATAGTACACAATTTCGAAAATATTAGTAACAATGATTATTATTATAATTATCACATAAATTTTTCTTTCTGCATTTTAAAAAATATATTTTGTAAAATAAATGTCCTTTTTATAAAAGGAACATGATACATTTTAATATAAAATAATCATATTTTTTATCTTTTATATCTTAATATGCAGTTTATTCAATTAATTATGTGTCAAATATTTATTAATATTTTTTAAATGAATAAAAATTTAATTATAAACATAATTTTATAAAATTGTATTGGTTATTAAAATATAATAAAAAGTGATTGGTAAACATTTCTTTTTATATATTCACATTCTATATTTATATGTGAATTGTAGTATTCATATTTATATTCTCTAAAAATTTTACAAATTGTCAACTGTTTTGGAATTGGGGCACTTTCCAAGACCTTTGGCTCTCCGAAATTTATAATCTTTCGAGCTCTTGAATTTTTGTAAACATTTGATTCCAAGTAGTCTTGAATATTCCAAAGCCTTGCTTTAGAACGTTCTACAATGTTTATCTGGTCTCCGCATAGTAACGTCGGTTGGAATTCTCCAACTTGTCCAAAGCTATTTTCTCGCTAGTCTGCAAGTTGCTCTAGTCCGTATAGAAACACCTATCCATTGTTGGCAGCTAACTAAACTGTCGCGTGGATAGATAAAGCTAGCACGCGACAAGTCAAGGTTGCCTTTCTCTCTCTCTCTTAGTGAAGACGTCATGGCACGGAACACGGACTGTCTTAGCAGGACTGCCATGGAAGAGCCATGATCTATCAGCGGAGCCGTTACGGAAGATACATGCATCAGTTTCATATAACTACTCAAGTACAATCGCATACAGTGCCCCGAGCACAAAGCTGCTGCAGACCTTTCTCAAGGAGGAGACCACAATCATGCAACCACCACGTGGCACTACACAAGAAATGCCCAGAGATTTATGATCTCACACTTCACCATGTAAACATCCACCACCCAGAGCATCACGTCAAGAAGATACGGAGATTAGCGACCTCCTACCTCTACATGTAGCGCATGCCAACACCACGATTCTCATCCCCAACTTAGAATCATTATTGTGTAGTTTGTAAAGTAAAATACAATAATCAAGCAACAAAAGCAGATGCGTTGAATAGTGAATTGAAGCGATACCCCTTCCACTTGCCCACACTTTTCTCCCACCAGTAAACTGGTGAACTTGGTCTAATTCTAAACATCAATTAACATTATTTTGTCAATATTAAAAAATTTACAATATTTAGCCATTATTATTATTAATAATTTCAGTATATTAAGGATGTAATACCTAATATTTACATTAACTTTTCAATTAATTTACTAATAAATAATTCTATTGAAATCTTACTCAAGAATAAAATCTACATTTAATGTAAATTTAACTTTCTTCTTATAGATAATTCATTGTAAAATATTAAAAATCTTATAAAATAAATAATATTTATATTATAATGTAAATATTAAAAATATTTTTAGACTTCTCTATGATATTAGAAAAGGATATACAAAAACTATATTTTCATTTTTATAATAAACAGTTTTAAAAAATTTATTATTCTCAAAAAGGAATCTATTATAACCACTTAAAGTTATATAATAAATACAAAATTGAATATAATAATAATGAGCTATTTTCTGTTTTTTTTTTTTTTTATACTTTACAAAGCATATGAAATTCTTAATTGAAATAAGTAAGTTTTTGGTAAAATATCTTTGTAGATATTTTAATTGCCATTACAAATGAGTAAAAATATTGCTTATGCAACATATAACTTGAATTTAACAGAAAAAAATTTGTAAAAATTGTTGAATCAAATACTTATGAAAATATGATTACAAGTACATTTATAATAAATACGTAAAACATTATTTTGTAAACTCTTAATAATTACATGAATTTGAATTTTATGCTTAAATTTTTAACAATGAAAAATTCTCTGCTACTCGTTAAATTTTAACAAAAACTTTGTTGGCTCATTCGTAATATTTGGAAATCAATTTACAATCATTGAGTACAATGTTGCATGCATATATATATATACATAAAACATTATTACCATAGTAATAAAATAGTATACCCAAATATAGCTATTCTATTGTATTTGAAAATCTGATATATTAAATGAATGATAGTCTGAAAACGTTATTAATCATGGTTAGATAGTAAAGCGAAAGCAAAAGTCAATATTCTAAATTTTGCTTGATATTTATATTTGAAGATATATGAAATATAATTTTGTAAATCATATAAATCTTTATATTACTGTTATTATTGTCATTAAAAATTATTTAAGTTTTGTTTCATATTTCATATTTTCTAAACTTTTCTACAGATATCTATTTAATTTCTATTCAAATTAAAATTCTATTCATATTAATTCAATTCAAATTATTAATGGAAACGTAAATATATTATATTTACAATAACGTTTGTTTAATTGCTACACATATATTTTACATGTTTATCAATATTAGAGTAAATAAACTTGCAATATTATTTATATCAGTTTCTTAAATTTATTAATTTGATATATATATGCACACCTACAAACATTTATATGTACAGATATTTGAGTAAAAATTAAATATACATCAAATTTAAAACTGAATTCCTTTAGGCAGAGTACCTTCTTTTCTTCGTTTTTCAACATTTGCGTAATATTCAGAAAAATCTACGTACGGCTTAATTCTTGCGTTTCTTTTGTCTGCCAATTTCGTAGTGTCACATGTTTCAGTCGACGTTTCATCACTTATAGAGGTAACCTCTTGTTTCGATGTCCCACAATTACTATTATTCTCAGATACACAATAGCTCTCAGTGTTTGTTATTTGAGGATTAAAATGCATTGATGCTATAGTAGGACTTTTAAGAGCATTTGGCATTGGAAAGTTGAAGTTGCGAACAAGTAGTGTTATATCATCCCGTTTACCATTTGTAAGAGTATTTTGCGAATTGCTCATATTCACATCGTGATGAATACGTACAATCTTATCGACCACTGCTTGGGCTACTCCAGTCAATGTTGATTGTACTCTAAACTATAATTTTAATTTTTCAATCAATACTTGATTATGGTTTAAAAATTAAAATAAATATTTTAAATTCCACATAAATTAGTATTAGCTTAGGAAACTGTTTATTTTAGTTTATTTTATTTTAATCAATAACAATAATTTTACATCAACAATAAATAAAAAATTATTGCATGTAATGATATGAAATTATGTACAAATGAAAAAGGTTTATCGATATTTTTGAATATTAATATATAAATTTTAAAATAATTTATATATTAATATTTATGTACTTTTCTTTTGTTAAGAAAAAATTATTAGTATTTGTTTTAATCAATATTCAAAGTAATATTATTATAAAAAATAATTTTTAATTCATAATATAATACAATAATAATTGTTTTATCCAAATGTAAAATAAAAAGTTGTTTAATCAGTAGCTGTAATTGAATTATTGAATTATTTCAATATTAATTTATTTTAATTTTATTAAATTAATCTTATTTTGAACTTATATTATATTGCACAAGGGATAATGAGTTTATACATTATCAACGTATGGTATTAATGTATGGTTTATGATATAGTTTATTACCTGTTCAACAGCTAATAAGGCTAATTCTTTGTTAACTTGATCGGTACCAGTAGCTTCTTCCAAAGATTTGTACACGCCTCGTGACATTAATAGTAAAAATCTACATGATTGATCGAGTTCAATACCTGCATGGATTTCTGGTTCTGCTATAATTGGCTCACTACTGGCAGAAGATAATTCTTCAAATTCTTTGTAACCACCTTTAACCAAATAGTTACCTAAGCATCTTGTATTTTCCTGATTGCCTAAATGAGATCCTAAAGTTATATAAAAATTATAAAACATTGTTTCATTTATTACTTATATATTAATTACTATTTAAAAAAAAATAAAGTTAGTTTTATCACCTTGTCTAATTGATTTAATATCCAATCCAAGTTGACATAATCGAAGTATTTCATCTTCATTTTTTAGATCATGGTCAGCACTTAATTGTACAACCCTCAATACTTGATTACTATCAGTTTTACATAGTAAAGCTCTACCGTCACCGACATTAGCTACATAGAGCTTCCCACGGTATATCAAAACCACAATGGCACTAGTTCCAGCAGATAATTCACAATTCAATGTATTTAATTTATTTACCTACAAGAATATCTTTAAATAATTTTTTAAATATCTGTAATAGGAATAAAAAAGACATATTTGCAAATATGATTACCACATCGGGAAATTTTTGATATGCCTCATAAGAATTAAGGCCATCTGGAATATCGCATTGCAAACTTGTTCTTTCTGCTAATAAATCACCGATGGAATCGTTATAGCCACGTTCAACTGATATAAATGCTTGTCTATGAAAATAAAATTGAAAATTTATAACAAAGAAATATTTACTATGTTAATTCAAATAATTTAATAAAAAATTGTATTATTTTTACACGATCATTAATAAAAATTAAAAAATTAATATTTGTTTATTTAAAATACCTCAACACTTCTTTGACTTCTTCATCTGTAGTTTTGTCATTTAATTGACCTAAAAGAATCTCTGCGGTCATTCTTTGCATAGCAAATGTAACTGCTTTGGTTCCTTCGTGCCCGTTGAAAACAGCATAGAGAAATGTAGAGTCGTCGTATTTAAAATGAAAACTTCGATCTTCAAATGAATGCTCTTTCTGGCGATATCCATCTTCTCTATAGATTTGATTAGTTGAGAAACCAACACCTAAAATACTCTTTTATTGTTGTTTGCAGATAAATATAGACTATAATTAAGTAAAATTACCAGATTGTTTGCAGACAGGTAAATCGTCAGTCCAGCTTTGTTGAGTATCTTGAAAGAAATTTGATTGTTCGGCTCCAGAATTCATTTTTTTTATTATATTTACAAAATTATGTCCTTCACTTTTTATGTAGAAATGAAAAAATTGTTTTTTAGAGAAAACTTTCTACATAATATTACATACGTATATTATAAAATTAAATTATTACTTAAAAGTGTTTTTCAAAATAAAAAAAAAAAAATAAAAAAAAAAAATAAAGTATTCCTTCTTAAGACTACTGTTAAACTACTATAAAGTTGTAAAGTCAAATGGATAAGTTACATTGTTGATTTCCGTACACAGTAACATAATCCACACTTGAAAGCACTTTTGTGTTTAATATAGGAAAAAAATTCATAGGCGGCAGGTCAATCGTATTGTAAATTCTTTCGGGTATTGCGACCAGCAAAATTATTCAATTGTTTGTAGATGAAAGATAAAAAAATGTTACAAAGTAATAAAGTAATATGAAAAACACTTAATTTTCCTGAAAGAAAATATCAATTAATAGGGCTTGAATAATTGTGCATTTTAAAATAATCTTTGGTGTATATCCAAATACTTTAGAAATTATATGTAATTTAATACTTACAATTCATAACAGAATAAGATTATTATAAAATTGTAATATCGAATAAATACTGAATAACGGAAATGAAATCAGTTCTTAATATTTATGCACAAATATATGTATATATATATATATATATATATATATATATATATATATATATATATATTAAATCATTAAGAAAAGTTAATTTATGTGTTTACGATTGAATTGAATACCATGAAAATTGGTAAAAAAGTACACGTCTTAGTCAATTAACGGTATGTTGGTGGGAGAGCAGGTAGGGCCGGTTCGTAAATTGTATCCTAATAATTATCATATTGATCATAATGTAAAATATAATCATTCAAAGCTACGAAATCCGTGTGTGACGACAAATTCCTAATGACAGCAAGATTTAACGTTCTACCTAAATTCGACAGCTTCTACGCGATACACAGCTTGGTACTTGGGGCATGCGCAGTAGTCTCCACCACTTATTCCTAAATTGCGCTATATGGCAATATCGCATACTGTTGACTATCGAGTGCTTAGCGCTTGTATATCTCCATTGAACATAACTGGTCCTTAGTGCCAACTGACCGCAGGTTGCTCACATGATTGTGGTGTACTTTTTATTGTAGTGCACATGCAAACCGCGGGCAACATGGCGAACGTGCGGGATAGTGATACATCTCTGTGGCTCCACAACAAGCTTGGCACATCAAACGACAGTTGGACCGGCAGTTCGATCTGTTCGCAGCTTAATGCCGAAGTGCTGCGTAATATTAAGGATTGTTTTCCGGATCTTCAAACTCAAGTCAAACTGAAATTATTGCTCTCCTTCTTCCATATACCCAGGAGAAATGTCGAAGAGGTGGGAGTCTATTGCATTTTTACTTGATAAAAATTAAGGAATCCAAGGCTTGAGGCTTTGGATTCATTAAAGATATTGACAAATATTCTATTTTTGGCTTATGCTTGTAAATATTGTAGGAGGCAAGTGGGTTTATTTGAATTTATTGAGCTTTTGAATTATTTGAGGTTATGGTGAGATCAGTCGAAGCGGAAAACTACTCAAAATTGTTAGTGAAGTTTGAGGTAGCCAATTAGAACTACTTTCCATTTAATAATATAAATCTCTACTATTTTCCCTCTCTAGTTAATTTTGGGTTTAGACCGTAGATTTTTTTGTAAAGATGGTCTGTGCATTGTGTGATCCGTGCTTGAAAAATAAAACGCGCGCGCGAAGAAATCGGCATATTTGATTGTTGCGCGCGTTCTACGTTTTTTGAATGTACAGTAGAATACGGAGCTTATAATGAATTAAGTAAGTGGATTTAATATGACTAATATTGATTATTAAGTCGCGTATGTCTGCACTTCCATTTATTTTTATAATATATATATATTTGTTTTGTTGAAAACTATTGTCTTCATTATGAAATATGCTTTTATTAGCAGAATTGTAAGTAGTCAAGGTTTTAGGCCGAATATATAAATTATATTTTTTTATATTTAAAAATTATTTTAAGTTCTGTTTTATATTATATAAATTAATACCGATTTAAAACTGGTTGTGGCATCGTTATAAATTAATGTTTAATGAGTCACTTTGTATAGCCAAATTATTTGTAACGCAAATGATAATTATACTAAAGCGGTAGAATATAAAATATTAAAATAATAAAAGATAAGACTTATTGGTTAAATTATTATCAAATTAGATATTTCAATTCAAAGGAAATTAAATGTTCAAGTTTATTTATTTAGGAATAATAAGTAATAGACTCAAATTAAATTTTATTATGATATGTATTATTTGTAATGTACTTAACAATAATTTTCTCAAATTATAAAGTTAGTATGTAATTATTTATCATATTTTAAATTATTATATTCTAACATAATTCTAAAAAATATCGAATTATAAAAAATATATATATTATTTAAATTCATAATCAATTTGCAACAGGATTTATATTTGTCATTGATAAACTATTTTATGAAATTTTTTGTTGTAATATTTAATGATATGTTATAAGTAAAAAGTTTTTTTTTTCAATAATTTGATTTATAAATTTATTTAAATAAATGTTATATATATATATATATATATATATATATATATATACATACACATATTTATTGATACTATTATTTAAAAATTTAATCATTAACAAAATTTTTAATCATTTATTATTTTTTAATGTAAGTCAAATTGTTTTTAGTGGCGTATTGAACTGGAAGAGATTATCGAGGTTGCTTGTTTGGATAGTGAATTATGGGTTTCAATGTTATCCGAAGCAATGAAGACTTTTCCATCCACCGGTTCATTAAACACAGATATCTCAGATCTTGACGAGCATCGTCCTATTTTTGGAGAACTTGTAAACGATCTTCGAAAATTATTAAAAAAGCAAAATGATCCAGCGATGCTACCGTTAGAGTGTCATTATTTAAATAAGAATGCTCTCACTTCTGTCACTGGCCAATTACCTTCACCTACGAAACATTTTACCTTAAAAAGAAAACCAAAAAGCGCAGCTCTTAGGTCAGAGTTGCATCAAAAAAGTTTGGATGCTGCAAATAATATGAAAAAGAGTACAGCTCCGACAGTACCAGTACGAAGTAGAGGAATGCCAAGAAAAATGACAGACACAAGTAGAATATATAATTTATATTGTATTTTGAATTATATTTGTAGATTTTTTTTTGAGGTTAACCTAGATTAGAATACTTTATGTCTAAATAATTTACGCTCGAAAAAAGATTTAAGGTTAAATAGATGTTTTAACTAAATTTTGGGTTGTTTCCTTTGATCTATATATATTAATAATTACAATTTGTGGATTTACTAATTTTTAAAAACATGGCCTTTCAAAAGGATAGCATTTTTAGTTCAGTTTTAGCATTGTTAATTTTTATGGAAATAAAGTAGCTATTTTATAGTATACATACAAGGGTTATTAAAAAAGTTAAATTAAACAAATTTGTACGTAATAATTTAAATGAAGAATAGATTGTAAATATATAATTATTTAAAAATTAAAAATAAGCAAAATATGTAATTATTATTTATTATTTAATTATTGTATGTTGAATTTTTTAATACACTCTTTGTTTTTATATTTTGCTATCCAAAAAATTTAATAAATTAAAATTTATTTTATAGCACCCTTAAAAGGTATACCGAGTCGAGTACCGACGTCGGGATTCCGTTCACCAGCCCTTACAGCATCACCAATGACAAACCGTACCCCCATTAGCAGCCGAATACGTAAGGATGGTGGTATTAAACTCCTTGACATAAATGAGCAACCATTGGGCTATGCCCAAGCGAAGCGACGTAAGAGGTTGATGGAGATGGAAGAACAACAAAAGAAAGTGGAAGAAGCGAAGGTTGCGGCAACAACAACAACAACGATATCGGCGACTCCAACAACAGAGACATTGACGACGCCAGAGTATGCTCAAGGGTTGGCACCAATTGGCGCTCCCGCGGCGCCAGTTTCGACCACTACGACAGTTTTACCTCAACCATATAATACGTCAATTAGCACAACTGTACCAATTGCTGTTATTGCACCCAGTCCACAAACGCGTGAGTATTGCTCTATATTTGTATTGCTCATAGGGTTCTTTTAAAAAATTAAAAAAAAAATTTGTATAGCGAAATATTTATAGATAATAAAAGTACAATATTCTCATTAATTGATAAGTATTCATTATATTTTGGAATAACTCTTTTTAGCTGTGACACCCGTTACATCAACACCAATAGTAACGACACTTGTTACTACTCCCATGGAAACTGCACCGATAACAGTGCAAACGATCAGGCAACCTCAAACTGTAACGCAAACTCGTATATCAATCAATAATCAACAGATACCAAATACAGCAAATACAAGAAAAGGGCTCTCCCTTACGGTAAAAATTATTTATTTTCATCAAAGTAATAATATCAGTAGTATAATTAACAATTACATTGCATAATGTATTAATTGGCTGATATTGATAGATGTATTACGTTTTGATTTTTATTTTTCAGAGGGAACAGATGTTGGAGGCTCAAGAAATGTTTAGAATCGCTAACAAAGTTACCAGACCAGAGAAAGCTCTTATTTTGGGATTTATGGCTGGTTCAAGAGGTAATATTTTTATAATGTCAATAAATTAAATTTAGTATTTGTATATTATCATCTATTCATATTATATTTGTACAGATATATATTTATATGTATTCTTCATACTTTCAGATAATCCCTGTCCAAAATTAGGTAATATTGTAACGGTAATGCTTTCCGAAAATATAGAAGAAGTTGAACAACCTGATGGTACAACTGTATCGATGCAAGTTGAAACACATTTCCAAATGAATTATACAAATGGCGAATGGAAACGCATGAAGAAAAATCGACGAATTGTTAATGATGAAACGGCTAATGTGATTACAAATCATAGTAAATTTACCCATTAAATAGACGTTTATTATAATTTCTTTATTGTTTTGTTTTTCTATTTCTTTATTAATTTCAATTTTTTATGTTTTCAATTTATGGATCTCAAGAAAAAATTATCTACGATTATATTTAGATTTTACATGTTTGTAAAATATTATATTTTTAAATACATATTTTTAAAATTATAAAAATTATAAAAATTTAATATATTTACATAAACATAATAAATTCAGGATTTGACTGAACTTAAATATTTATTAAATTCATTAAAGATTTAAGTAATTTAATCTCAATAAATTTTAATGAATTTTAAAAAATTAATAAATATGTAATTATTCAGATAATTGAATATAATTATTTTTCTCATATATTCTCTTGATAATTAGTTTCCTCTTATAAAAATTCTCTATACGATATTAATGTAAAAAATGTAAATTAAAAACAAAATCTTTAAGTAAGTTTGCGTTAATTGCGTGCGTTCCAATGTTCGATTTAAACGCTTCGCTTTAATCTCAAATTGCGAATACTTTTGTAAATACACTGACAGCAAGAAGTTTCCTTTTTGTGAAATTACCTATTATATTTAGTATTTTAATCAAAGGTAATTTACTTTTTGTAAAGTATAATAAATTAGATAAAAATAATAGGGAATTGAAAGTGATGCTAATTTGCTTGAAGCGGATTAAATATAAATATTACTGTAATATGAAAATATATATTCTATAAATTTCTGTTTTTTGATTTGAAAAACAAGACTAATATTACTGTTGTTTGAATAAAATATATTGATTACAAATAATTGTTAAATAATAATTTTTATCCAAAAATTCATAAAAGAAGTCTTATATTGATTTAATGATAATATTAATTTCATTTGTAAAATTCAAGCGTACAGTCAATTGTTTTGTTTATTTTTAAATATCGTTATTAGAATGCATTTAAGCTTTACATGTATGAAAATTATATTTTGAAAAACTCTGATAAACGTTTGTAATTGTTTTTAAGTAAGCTTTTAAATGGAATATTAAATGGCTTGATAAAAAATGAAATCATTATTTTGTATACATTCTGAAAAATGTATAGTAATTTTCGGAAGGAAATGAATTAGATTACAAAAATTTTAAATTATTAGTTTTTATTCTTTATATATGTATTATAAAGTGAAACATATATAAAAGTTTGAAGTACTTTTATAAAGAATTATTTTCAAAATTGTCTAAATTTTAGTTAATATTATATTCATATTCTAAATAAAAGTGTAATAAAATATATATATTTAAATATTTTAATTATTCTATCCGTTAAAACTTAATTATGAAGATAAATATGCAAAGATTTTGAACAATCAGGTTTAGTCGATAGTTTAATGATTAGCGTATTATTATACCAGTAGATCCTCATACATAAACTTAAAATATAATAATTTTTTCTTATAATTATATATATATATATATTGATAAGATACGTAACTATATTTTTTATAGTTATTGAATTTCAAAATATTTATTATAAATTGGGATTATTTAATTTAATTATGTTTTAGTTATTAATCACATCCGTCAATATAATAATAAGTCTAGCTAGTGTTAAATAGAAGTCTTAAGTTTAAAAACATTATTATCAAAGATTTGTTACACGAACATAAATACACTTTACATAATTAACAATTGTGTTATTATCGGCTAATTTGCGATTATATAATTATTTTATTTTCTATTAGGTGTAACATGATTCTTTCACTAGACTTCAAAATGTGATGTATTTGTCTAGCTTTATATTCTCCCTTGTTAAAAATTCATACAATTTTATTCCTAATTATGAACTCATAAACAGCTTTCGCATTCATATTTTCAACTCATCAATTGATCGAATAAATCTTTCAACTTTAAACATTCTTAAGCTTTTAGGTCACTATTCTCAAGAATCATCAATTATTAGTTCTTAAATGTGATTGAAAAAATTGAGGAAATTACATTTTTACAATTAAATGTCATTAATTAATCAATAAAAATAATTATATATTAATAATTTTCTCTTTCTTCTAATTTTCTTTTTAATTACTAACATTTATTATTTCTTTCATTACAATTATATTTTCATTAAAACATTATTAACATTATGTACTTACAAATAAAATTTTATCGCTATCGCCACATTCATTATGTTAAAACTTAAACTGCCAACGAAATTCCAACCATTCCTTCAAAAAATATAATGAAAACTTTATTTTCATATTTGCCGTGTTTATCGTGTCACTTCCGTTAGCGGCATCATATATTTGCCTTCAACAGTTGTAACTGCATATTGGCTGATACCGGTCGTTCAACCTGATTGACCATTCCTAGATAATCTACAGGTAAACACATGGGAAATTACTTCATCTGGTTAACCTTAAGTAATGAATATTGGTATAACCTTGTGCTTTTCAGATTTACATTGCGAGAGTTTTGGTCTATTATAAAAAAATATTCGTGATCGTCCGGTATCCTGAGTAGTATAATGTCACGAATGTTAATTAATTTAATTCCATGTGCCAAACAATTGGTAAGCGTTTTTTATTATTATTGTTTATTTTCTTTTGTATTTTTGATGAGTTTTATATCACTTTGAATTGTTATTGTAATTTAATGTAAAATAATTTGTAGATTTGTTTATAGTAAAGTTAAATTGACTATGATTAGGATATTATTATTATAATAATTTCCATTATTAATGCAATTTATTTATATATTCTCAGGTTACAGTAACTTCATCTCCAGTCATAAGATGTTTAGGCAAGTTTCAGTTAAATAAAAATATTCGATGTCTCTCCGACATTTCATATTTAGTTGATCGACCAAAGATTGCCAAACCAGCACCCGACTTCTCAGGAACTGCAGTTATAAATGGAGAATTTAAAAATATAAAACTGAAAGATTACCATGGGAAATACATAGTTCTTTTTTTTTATCCATTAAATTTGTAAGTATGTTTGTTTATAATTTTTGTAAGATAAATGGATTGTAATAATTAAAGATGTTAAATTTATTCTTAATACTAATATGAATATATGATATTGATCGTATATATATATATATATATATATATATATATATATATATATATATATATAAATATATATATAATATTGATTAGTATAATTAAAATTTATTTCATTTAGTATATGTATGTATACAATTAAGATAACAAGGAATTTAAATAAATATTGTTTAAATATTTGCAGCACTTTTGTTTGCCCAACAGAATTAATAGCCTTCAGTGATAAAATGGCTGAGTTCAAAAAATTAAATACAGAAGTTATAGGTGTTTCAACCGATTCTCATTTTAGTCACTTGGCTTGGACTAATACACCTAAAAATGAAGGTGGCTTGGGGGGAGATTTAGGATATCCATTGCTCAGTGATTTAAGCAGAAAAATTTCAGTTGCCTACAATGTCCTTATTCCTGATGAAGGAATAGCTCTTAGAGGTCTTTTCATAATTGACAAAGATGGAATTCTACGACAGATTACTGTAAATGATTTACCAGTTGGTAGAAGTGTAGATGAAATATTAAGATTAGTTAAAGCTTTTCAATTTGTTGAACAACATGGAGAAGTTTGCCCAGCAAATTGGCAACCAGATTCAAAAACTATCATCCCTAATCCAAAGGACAGTAAAACATATTTCAAATCTGTTAATAAGTAATAAATTCAAATAAATTTTAATATAAAATGATATTTAAATAATTTAATTACGTGGAGGATTAACATATTTTTACTAAATTTTTATTCTATAATAAGGTAATAGTGTATTATAAATGGGATTTTATCTAAATGTTCATTTTAATGTTAAAATTATTTATTTTACAATAAGTCCTTTAATACAATTACCATGAAATTTATTTTGAAATAAGAAGAAATAATAAGACTTTTTCCCATACAATTTTTTTTGTAAAAATAAACTATATTTTACAACAATTTATAAGTTGTTTTTAGTAAATTTTGCTAAGGCCATGGTATTATTTTAGTTACTTGATTTTTTATGTAAAGCTGCGAAGAAAAAATTTAATACTATAATAATAGAAACAGTTAATGTATTATTATGATATAAGTATTTTACATAATTTTAATCATTCGCTTAATGTTTTTTCAACTTTCACTTGAAAAATCTTAAAATGAACAAAGTAACGTATTAAAATATTTGTTCAAATATTTCATATTTTGTTTTTGAGTATTTTAAAACTGTACTGCAATGCATATAATGACAAGGTTTAATGCATATTAAATCATTTTAATGCAAAGCCTTTATCGTAAATAGCTTGCTTCAACATTCTTATGAAGCATTATACAAGTTTAACATTTAATTTTCTAATGCCTCTATAGTTCTTTAATATAATTATTATTAATTTCGAATTTTATATCTGTAAAATTTAAAAATTACTATCATACCTTCATACATTTTAATAAAGTACTCGAAATATTAAAATAGATTATTTAATTGTTTTGCAAAATTGTAAATTTTAAAAATATATTTTCAATATCGTTATCGGTACATGTCCTTAGAAAATAAATTTGCTAATACAATATTTTCAATAAAGGTTTCTTTTTTGTCACTTTAAAAGTATGCAAATACATTATTTATCCAACAGCTTCGATTCTACAGTAGAGACCATTGTAAAAAAAAATTAAAGATATTTTCAAATTTTAGATTTTTCGTAATTTAATTTAAATTTTCTACCTAGGAATATAAATTATTTAAAATTAATTATGCATAGTAATTAATTAAAACGATTTTCTTTTGTAATATTAATTGAAAATCATACGTTTTTCACAAGAAACATTCCTACGTTTCGCACTTATTCTATGCATAAATAAAAAGAAATCCAACAGCCAGTGAGACTTTCCCCTAATAAAGTGTACCCGTTGCCAAAGGTCGACCTCTCCCACATTCGCGGCATTTCATGCAATAAGTCCCGTGAGCATTCGCAAAGAAAAGAAGCCAGGAGCAGAGCAGTCCTGCTTATAATAGTAGAAGGAAATTGGGTACCGCCCAACCTTAGATTTATAATGATTCATGCACAAATGCTGTGAATGGCGATTGCAATCGGTTCGAGATTTGCGAGATTTGCGAGATTTGCGAGATTTGCCTCCTCTAGCTATCTTGTGTCTCTCTTTTTCTGGTTGTATCAAGAGCTAGTAGCTGTGGGAGATTGAGTATTGGGCGACGGGGGGGGGGGGGTTAATCCGAAGCAGTCTTTTGGGTGACTCGATCTGCTATTGCTCCTGCCGCTACAAAGAATCAAATCAACCAACGCAAGATTGCTGTCCTCTTTATCCCTCTTCTCTCTCATTCTCTCTCTCTCTCTCTCTTTTGTCATCTGCACGTGGCCATGATAGGTTACACTGGTTTGCTCCTTCTTTCGTGATTGAAGTTAAAAAGGAAGATAGGGAAACGAAAACAGGGAGAGGGAGAGAAAAAATTGATGAAAATGTAAAAAGCATACAACGAAGAATGAAGATTTACGGATGTGGAAAGAGATTTTCGAGCACTTAATCAAACGTTTAAAGGGCATATTATAAGTTATAAAAAAAAAGAGAGTTAAAAGATTAAAAGTACTTTAAACAACAAGTATTATGTAATTAAAAATATTTTAGAAAAAATATTAACTCTAATAGATATATGTTGAGTCTAATGAAAATGTAATATTATCAAGTAATTAAAAGAATTTTCTATAACTCTAATCGTATTTAAAAATTATTGGTTATATATATATATATATATATATATATATAATGTGTTTAGAATTAAAGTTGTTTATTAAAGTATATTAATATATAAGAAAAAAGTGCCACAATTATTTACACGTTGTATTATAAGATTATACATAGTAATTAAATTAAATTAAATTTTTTAAATATTCCTTCTGAAATATTTCTAGGAATAAATTTTTTATAAAATAAATAAGATAGCTTTTCATATTTCGTTATTGTTTATATCTTTATAAAATTAAATATAGTTATAAACAATAAGCTGTGCACAATGTAAGAAGAGTTAAAGAATGTCATAAATGCTTATTTAATATTAAGCATATAAATTTTTATAGATGAATTTTATCCCATATACATTCATTATAATGGGAATATACCATATATAGTATTATTAATGTAGCTAAATAAAATTATAAATTAATATAAAACACACAACTAATTACTTTAAAAAATATTTTTAAAAGTATTTAAAGCATTTAAAAAATTGGATTATATATTATTTGATTATATATTAAATACATTTGAATAAATGATTAAAATTAGTTAACGAAATTTTATCAATATTATCCCATGCTTTAGTCCGTCAAGCACGTTAGAATTTTATTCAAGACAAAAGTAAAGTAATTATACGATAACATTTATTAAATAGTAATTGAATCTATGTTATTTTATATAATTTATTTCTTGGCTTGTAATTATTTGAGCTAATTTAAATTTAATTTTAAGAAAATTAATATTTTTACAAGATACTCATGATGCTTATGATGCAGTCCGTACATTTAATCATAATATATATATATATATGTTCATATATAATATTTTATATATATAAACATTGCAGATAAAAGAATATTTTGGTTCAAATATTTTATAAAATATTTATCTTATAAATTACTTTTTTAACTTTTTATTTTATTTCTATTGCATTTGTAAAATGATATTTAAAACTTATATCATTTATTAAAATTTTTGTAAAACTAAATAATGTTTTTTTTTATAATTTTCTGCAAACTCAAACTAAAAAGAAAGAGGTTAAAGGTTTGATATTTTCTAGTCGTCGCATTTACAAATAATATTTTTATTGATCTAAGTGATACTATTACGATTGAATTTTCTTATATGAATGCATTGATTGAATTACAAACAGTTCTACATCATTTGCAACAGCATGAAGGCCTTCGTCATATTTTCCCTCTGTATTACTTCAGTATTTGCGGTATGATAATTTTATAGATTTGTATCAATTGCGATGAAGTACCGCGTAAATTTTTTTAATTAATATGAAACATTTATTTTCTTTAATTCATTAATATTAAAGAAATACAATTTTTTTAAACATTTTCAATAATTAATCAACATACATTTATTTTTAGAGAAAGAATGTATTTCTCACAAAATTCTTTTGGAAGTATTAATTGAATATTGGATCGTTAAATTCACATCTCATAGATCCTTAAAAATTGAATTTCAGTAGATAGTTAAAACATTAATTACAAAGACAATAATTATAAAAATATTAATTATATAATTTTAAAGGTATAGTTTATTTTATTAATGATAAGAAATATTTTGTTTAAAAAGATTGATTTTAATTAACACGTAAATTTCAAATTTATGTAAATTTAGTGATTTTATAATGTTTACATAAAATATTACACAAGGATACTCAATTATATTATTTAATATATTATTTATTAAATAAGAATTTTGACATAGAGTATCATGTAAATGATATATAAGTGAAATTTTTAGTTATAACAATCTTGTGCAGTGATTTTAGAAAATGTATATCTATTTATTTTTTGACCTTAAACTTTGACGTATAAAAAGTGGTATCTATGCTTAGATAAAAGTAGAAAAATATCATTTTTAGATTAAAATTTTCTAATACACACAATCTAATGCATTTTGTTATATTTCCACAAATATTTCAATTATCTATTTAATATTATCAATTAAATTGTTGAATACTTATAAACTACCATGATCAATAAAAATTATTTTATTTAATTATAATAATTTATCAGTAATTTATAATTGATATTTTTAATTATGAAAGTCAAAGTTGTGTGAATGTATCAAAGTTTATAGAAGGAAATAAAAATATTACATAATTTATTTGCATAATTCTTTATAGGTTATTGTTACAAAAGAACAATTTAATAAATTTTCATCGGAATGTGCATCGGAAATGGGTTTTGATCCAGGTAAATTAAAAGTATCAAATACGTTTTTATATAGCATTTAACAAGAAAACTAAAATAACACCAAAGTATTTTAAAAAATAGCATGAATATAAGTTAAACAATGATTGTTGTAAAAAAAAATAATGGAAATACTGTATGATCAACATTACGTCTACTAAAAAATATGTCCTAATTTTAATATAAACAAAGTAAACTCTGTGATTCCTTTTAATTGAAATATTAAAATAGGATTTCAGCGTCGATATATATTCAAATAAAAGAAATGAATACATTATATTTTTTAATATATCTCAATTAATGAAACTGTAGCTGTGAGGTATAGTATAAAATATCTAAAGGACAAATTTAATTCTATTGATTGTTTGCAGATATGTTTTAAATAATTTATAATTCTTAATTTTAAATCTATACATACATACATATATTTATATATATATAATATTCGTTAAATAATCGTTAAGTTTTTAAAGCTATTTAGAAATCTGAATCTTAATCATCAATTTATTTATTTTTTGTATTGGTTATTGTTTCTTAATCAATGCAGTCATTACATGTTAGTTAACAAAACGTACTTATTTAATAAGGGAAACACTCATATTTAATTCATCCACTTTATATTAATGTATTATCATTGTATTATTGTATTATCAATGTAGTGATAATATAAGAATAGATAGATAGAAAACAGATAGAAGCAGAAAATATATCGACGATATTAATAATTTTTAAATACGTTTTAAAATTTTTCAAGCCCTGAACAAACAAAAAGTTTAATCAATTAGTATATTTTTGAAAAGTTTTGAAAAGTAATACAAGTTAAATATATGTATTTGTTCACTATATTTCTTGCAGATAATACTGTAATAAAGGCATAAAAATTAGAAAAATAGTATACTGTAAACATTTTTTATAATTAATAATAAAATAATAGTCAATTTAACCAATAAAATGAAAAGTAAATAGTTATTTAGATTTAATAAAATTTTTATTCACATTTTTATTACTTTTATATTATGTAGCTGAAATTGATAAAAACAAAACTAAATCTCCTACAAAAAATGAAGAAAGCTGCTATTTAGCCTGTATAGACAAGAAACAAGGAGTAGTAAGTATTTGGATGTTATTCAGATTCGATCGAGATTTAAAGATTTCTAATTTTCTTTATCTGTAAAAAGATGAAACAAGATGGAACATATGACATAAATGTGATTCTGAATTATGTCGAAACATCTGAAATGAAGACAAAGGTTCAAAGTTATATTGATGAACTGATCAAAACTTGTAAACCTGAAGGTAAAATTTAAAAAATTATAAAAGAAATGATAACAGTTGTTTTATAGAATAACTGATAATATAAAACGATTTATTTTTTAGTTGGGAATGACACTTGTAAATTAGCTGCTTGTTTTCATAGAATGCCAAAAGCATACTGGGAGAAAGAATAAATTTTAATTTTTATTAAAAATGATAAAAAAGTTTATATGTATATATTTCGTAATACCATATTTTTTAAATACAATTTTTTAAAGTACATAAATTATAGGCATGGAGATATATTTTTTATTACTAAATAAAATAATACTTATTTAAATTGTTTTACATCAAAATCACGTAAACGATTTATGTTAATACAGTAATTGTTAAATATTTCATAATACACATTAAAAATACTCAAACTCTTATATACTAAATATTATTCATAAATAAATTATAAATAGTTAGAAAGATTATTTTTTCAATTATAACTGGGGTATTAATTTCATGACTAAACTTATAGTTAAGTTTATATAGTTTAAACTATGTGAATTATGACGTTAAATAATTGCTGAAATATATTTAAAATCTTAGAATTCACTTAGAAGTGCCATCATAACAACTATAGAAGTATATAAACGTGGATTACTGAATTACTAATCTAAAACTTTCTTAATTCTTAAAATAAATAATTAGTTTTATGTTATCTTATTTTGTCAAATTATCTTGTAAAATGCAAGTGTGTGAATATATATTATATGTGAATAATTTATAAAGCTATTTCTGCATATATTCTGTTAATTTTTATATGATATTTATATATGATAATATTATAATAATTTATAAAGCATTCTGTTAGTATCAAAATAGTTTAAAATAGTTATTAGGCATACATTAATTTAGATTATTATGAAATAAATGTGAATTTATGACAAAATTGAAATAAATTTATAAAATTTGTGATCATAGAATTCACATTTGTTTTTCTTATTAATAATAATTCTTCTTAATTAATAACATATTATAATACCTCTGAAAATACTATTTATAAAACAACATTGAATTAAAAATGTATAAGAAAAAAAAATAAGATTTAAGGGGCATTGAAATCTGTGGCAGTATAAGTTTTAGAAATTGCATCTAAATTAATTTTTTAATGTTTATGTTCTTCTTGATTTCGATATTAAAAACAAAATCAATATAAAGGATTATTGATATAAAATTAATTTTAAACAAAACAATTATATTAGTGTATAATAAGAATATAAAAAAATTATTCAGTATATTTTATTGAGGGTGACGTTATATGCCTAATTTATTTTATTGTCATATATGGATTTTTTTGCGTATTCATGTATTTATAATTTTCTCGTTATTTATATGTAATTTCCTAATTATTCTTTTTTACGAAATATTAAGTAATAGTATTAAATAATGTACTGCTGTAAATACTTTTATTTATTCATAGCATGTTGTAAATAATGGACATAAGTTTTATACTATTTTGTTGTAAATCATTGTTACGATATAAATTTTCTTCCCTTTGGATCATCAATGAATAATAATGTAGTTCAGAAAAAAATATCTAACTTTACCGATTTTCATATATAATATAGTCTGAAGATTTTTATAACATTATTGTAATTCATTTATAAATCTGACAGTTACTAAATTATAGCTTATGTATAAAAAATAACTCAATTAAAATTTCCATTGTTAAAAGCGATACTTTGGAATGTTATTCTAGTATTTATTTATTGTTTATTCGAAAATGCTAACTAAAATATAATATATTGTATTTCTGTATAAAAAATCAGATCAGTAAATATGCAGAAGAAATAATCTGTGAATAAAAATGAAACGATATTGGCAAATAAAAGATTTATTTATTATGTTTGAATAACTTCATTTGTATATGTTATTAAATTTTTTTAATATCATGCTATTTATATTAATTAAAAGTTGATGAAAAGTAACATTAACAATTATCTATCATAAAAATTAAATAATATTTTTTAATAATAATTTATGTTACTAAAATATTTTTATTATATTTTTGCAAATAATAATTATTTAGATTTCATAAAGTAATTTTTTTAGGAATATGTTAACAAAATTAATTTAAAAATGAAAAAAAAATTTGACATTGACTTATGAAATTCTATTATTAATTAATGTAATTACTTTCACACTAAATATTTATAAAATTCAAATAATTTTGTAAATATCTTATAAAACTATTATTTAGATTATATATACTTGTAAATATTATTTGACTTTATTCCTATATTGAAAGTTTTTTAATTGTATAATAAATATATTTTGAGTCTAAAATAATAGTACTTTACAGAGTATAAAATTTGTATCTTTTATTTACAAAGGCATTTTTATTTATTGATTTCTTTAATTTTGTTGAAGCATTTTAGAAATTTATTTGTTAAAATGTTAATGATAATTAAATGATGATCAATTGATTTAATGAATAGGGTCATCTTTTATTTCTATTATAGTGCTTAAAATAAATTATGAAATATAATATATAAATATCAAATATAACTTTTTTTTTTAATTAATAAAAAAATTAATATATATTATATATATATATATATATATATAATATATATATATAATATTATATATATATATATATATATATATATATATATGTTTATATGATTAATTGTAATAAATGATTCTAGAAGTATATAAAAGTATATATACTTAACGTTTCTAATTGTTAAAATGATTCATATTTTGATTTATTTATTATTTCTTTATTATATTTTTAAGCTGTAACCATTTTTTAAAAATATTTATGACATTATAATGTATCTGTTAATTTAAATTAAATTTATATAGGTATACATATATACATAAATTCATTATATACGAGTTTTATTGAGATCAATAGTGTGAAATATATAATTTGAATGTCTAGCATATTCTAAAACTTTTAAGAATAAATTATTTGATGACAAATGAATAAGATATAAAAGTATATAAGATACCAATTAATTTATCTGGCCAAATATCTATTATATAAATCTCAAATGGTTTTGGAATTCTAAATGTTACATTTTTATTTATTCAAAATAGCATCGAAAATAATCGGATAAAGATAAAGATTTTTCAAACGGCAGAAATGATATCGGCACCGAGAGGATAAGATTTGTCCACTACTTTTCTTAGATATGCTCTTATATTTTCTTCAAATATGCACACACTAAGTCACCCAGGAATCGATGGTATCAGATCTGAAAGGTAACAACATATGCAATATCAATGAAAGATAAGCTATTTTTTTCTGCGTCAACCTCTTCTCTCGGAATAATTTGAATTATATTTGCAAGAAACCTTTTTTTCAATGTACCGATAAATAAGACGAAGTTACGAGTAGTATATTTAAAATAATTATTATATTTATTAAAAGCTTTCAAAAAATTTTTAACTCAAGACTACACTGCAGTTTTATTTTTTAGCTAAGATTACGAAACTAAAACCGATAAACAGCAAAAATATATAGTTAAACATATATCTTTAGAAATTTTAATTTTATATTTTTGGCAAAAACAAAAGTTTTTTAAAAAATTTTTACAAGTTATAATTCTATAATTTACGTAAAATTACGTAAAATTACGTAAAATTAAAACATATATTTTTCATCACAGTTATTGAACTTTTGGAAAATATCATAATTCGATCAACTCGGTTTAATTGCTCAGTAGAGACCTTCCTTTAATTCTTGAAAAGAAAATTAAAATAAAAAATGAATAATTACTAATTGGTATTTATCCTTATTCAGCTTTCTTATATATAATGTAAGTACATATTATAAGTTGAGAGGTATAATCGTTGTAATAACCGAGTGAATATAAACGTTTGACTTCGTATCGTCATCTTTTGGTGCACACTACATCCTTTTATCTAACAGTCGTCCATTAATGGAGACGTCTAATTGTATATTTGCTGCACATTGGCTGAAACTTCTAATAAGAAATAGTAATAAAAGTTGGTCTTAATAGAGAGGAGTATGCAATTATGAAAAAGAAGGATAAAAGAAATGTTCGCGACAAATAGTATATATAGTAATCTTTTAATATAAAATTATGTACATTAATTTTGAATCAATGAAATTAAATATGAATTGAATTTTTACATTAATACAAAAGAATTGAGCAGAATTTAAAATAAATCAATAAATGTACTGATTTTACTAATATTTTGTTATGATAAATTATTAAGCGTATATCTGTCGAGTATGATAATAATGTATTATATTAATAAATTAATAATATTTTCAAATATATTGTAAAGAATAATTTGTGTAATTAAACCAAATAATTTTTAATGCTTATCATTAAAAATAACTTGATATATTAAAAGTAATGATTAATTAAAATTAAAAGTTGAGGATAAATTTTTTTATATATACCAATTATAAATTGACTATGTCACTTTTTATATTTGATATATTATATATATATATATATATATATATATATATATATAATATATCAGAGATTAAACACATCAGCTTTATATGCATATATATTAGTCGAAAAGAGTAACGAATGTAAAAGAAATAATTTTCATATTAATCAAGTAAATTGAATGTAAATACTAAGCACTAATATTATATTAAAATTATTGTGGCTCATAAGTAAAAGTGAAAACCGAATATATAATATTTCAAAAATCCTTTTGATTACTTACGCATGCAAATACGTTCGAATACTTTTATAATGAGTATTTATTTCGTGAATAAGCAACTTCAACAATTAGCGGTAGAAGAGGACAATGTTGAAACAACTTTTTTCTGGTTTTGGAATATACCAATATACTTTGAAGTAAAATATAGTTCAATGTATATATACATAAATGTATATATATATATATATATATATATATATATATATACGTATATATAGATAGATAGATAGATAGATAGATAGATAGATAGAGAGATAGAGAGAGAGAGAGAGAGAGAGAGAGAGAGAGAGAGAGATAGAGAGAGAGAGAGAGAGAGAGAGAGAGAGAGAGAGAGATAGAGAGAGAGAGAGAGAGAGAGAGAGAGAGAGAGAGAGATAGAGAGAGAGAGAGAGAGAGAGAGAGAGAGAGAGAGAGATAGAGAGAGAGAGAGAGAGAGAGAGAGAGAGAGAGAGAGATAGAGAGAGAGAGAGAGAGAGAGAGAGAGAGAGAGAGAGATAGA